AGCATAAAATAACTTCATTTTGATTTGAGTTGCTTAGTGAAAGTTGTCGAAAGGTTGAGTGCATCCGATGAAGATACTGCTGTGCATTTGGTGGGACTATTTTGAGCTCTTGCCAGCTGGAGAAACGATCACTGCCAACAAGTATTGTCAGCAATTGGTCGAACTGAAGAAAGCAATTGATGAAAAACGTCCGATTTTGGCCAATCGCAAAAGAGTTCTTTTCCATCATGACAACGCCAGGCCACATGTTGCAAAACCGACCCTAGCCAAACTGAAGGAGATGAATTGGGAAATCATGCTGCATCCCCCATATTCACTCGACATTGCACCTTCTGATTATCATTTGTTTCGATCGCTGCAGAACAATTTCAATGGAAAAAAATTTAAAAATGTGGAAGACGTCAAAAACCACCTTGACACCTTTTTCAACGAGAAACCGCGCGATTTCTATGAATCAGGCATCCGTAAATTGGTTGAACGTTGGGAGTGGATTGCCGAACATGATGGCGAATACATAATTGATTAATAAAAGCGCTTTCTTCAAAAAATTTCAATTTTAGTTTGCACTTGAAATCGGGCACGAACTTATGCACTCATCCAATATAATTGGCGCTTTGTATCCGCTAAAGCGGTTTTCGATCGAGCTTCTTCTCCAATTTGGGGTTTACGTCATGGGGGTTGACATTACGAATTACATATTTGCAAATGTTATAGTGGTCCAATATGGTCGTTTCCCCAAATGATCTTTATACTATCTTTAGTTGAATTCTTCACATAAAAACTGAGAGACTCTTTTGCGTTCTAGCAGACAGACAGACTTGTTGAAATCAACTCAGCTCGCCGTTCTAGTCCGGTGTGTATTAAAGTTTGGTGGATCTCTTTCTTTCCCTTCGGATACATACATAAATACATATGTACATACATAAGGTGTGTTTCAGAATTATAAGACACTTTAATATTTCTACTGTAGACATAATTTAAAATCAATAATAAAAACTGCATTCTTTTTTTAATTTTATTATTATTATTATTTTTTTTTTTTTTATATCCTATGCACGATTGTACTTCTCGCAAGTTAACAAGGGAGGCGAAGAGTTTGTTCCAAATTGCAAAAAAAAATGCAATAAATGGTACGATATTTCTTACAGAGCCCAAAGAATTATAATGTTTTCAAGTCAGTCGAGCGAAAATTGGCACTTTCTCTAAGAAGATCTCACGAAAGATTACCAGATTTAGCTCTACCTCTATCAGGCCTTGCGCTAACATATACGCAGCTCTAAAAAAATAAGGTGTTAAAGGACTGGCAGTTATTAAAATTGTAGAAAGAACCTCAGCCTTTGCCATGGCACAAGCAAGCGCAACAACGATTTGCAGAAGAACACATATACCCCAATTGGGAAACAGTATGTTAATGCCGTTGATGCTAAAGATAATCTGTTTGGCTCTATTTGCTATGAATATTATCTTTTAGGACGAAAAAAAATGTAATCTTAATGACCCTGTTGGTATCCAGTTTCATTTGAGAAATTTGCGAAACAGCTCGCCTCTAATAAATAGCAGATAGCCCACTTCCTTTAGTTGAGACCTACAGACAGTGCCTTTATTCTGGCAACACGATAATGCTTGCATTCAGGTAAGCAATGAAACGAGATGCTCCAGAGGAACCCTGGACTGGCGGGCATGCTTTTGGTACTCAAATCCAATAGAGAACGTTTAGGTATATTAGTGAGAATAACACATGGCGAAAATTCCCAAGCGAAAATGTTTACTTAGTTAATTTTAACGGTAGTGGAGAGTGTCTTATTCTTATCTTGAACTGATCGCTTAACAAAAATAAATAATCTCTGAATCCTTTGTGTTCCAAATAATCTTTATTACATAATAAATATGACAATAACTTCCGTAGTGAAATTTGTTTCTTTTATTCCAAATATAATTTTCTGAAAACACAGGGTATTCCAATAAGAGGTGTTATTTTTATATACAAAATAATGTAGATTTTCGTATAACTAATGGGACGTTTATTTCAATATAAAGAGGGAGATGTGCCATTAATAATGCAGAACAGTCAGCCAAATGTGCAAAGTCCTTGTGCTCCACGTGGAAGAAGTCGGAAGGTGTTAAATCATCATCACCTCTTCGAGAGATTACAATGTCTTGTTGAAAGTAAACGTTGTCCATCAAATTCCGGTCATAAAAAATCATTTAACATCCCTCGATAGCTCAATTCATTCAAAGTAACTGTTGCATCCAGACTAATTTTTGAAAAAGTAAGGTATGATGACCTTGCCGCACCAAACTGTTACGCGTTGAGGATAGAGAGGCTTTTCAGCAATGAATCCTGGGAATTCAGAGCCCCAGATGCTACAGTTTCGCTTATGCGCGTAGCCCTCGAGGTCTAAACTGAACTTTTTTAATCTCAAGACCCAAGCATTTATGTAAAATACTGTCCATAGAAGGACGATGAATAGACTAACCTACGTTTTGTTCAACACTTTTGGCTACAGCAGCAATATTATCAGTTATTCTTGAACGATATGCACTTTTTCTTTCTTCACATCACTAGCTTGTCCCTACAGCTCCATTTTTTCCACCTATTTTTGTATTGCGATTCGACAAGGTGCTCCACGCCGACCGAAATATGTTTTACTTCTACACTTTCTCTCTCTGTCTCTGCCATATTTTCACCATTTTTATATTATTTTTTAAGATTTCAGTGCTTCGTAAAAACGTGTATCGCTCTATTATTACAACAGGCATAGTTTCTCCATGTCAAATGTCAAAAAATGACAGTTTCAAAAGTGACATCTACCGGAATAGCAGGTTATTTAAATCAACACTTCTCATTGGAAGACCCTTTACTACAAAAATTATTGGTAAAAAAATTAAGAAAAAAAACAACTGATGTCTTTTGATTCTCAAAGTCACTTTAGTTGGGATAAAAGTTCGTGAAAAAAATACAAACTTCGCTGTCAGTTTGAGAGTGAGAGCGTGATATAATACAGTAATGAGCTTTCGTTTTGACTGGGAAGAAAATTCGCTCTGCTTTATCAACCGACACAACAATTTCACTTTAACTTTCATATCATTTTATCAATACAATTCTATTTTTGTACGCCCACGCATTACGCGCATGTAGACATATACATGCATACTCGTACATATATCTTATAGTGGCTTGAGGCAAATAATTTGAAAAATAGTCTCCCCTGCGCTGTGATTATGTCCGTATTTTCCATATTGTGATTTTATTTGTTTTTCTTATTCCTAACCACAACCGCCTCCACACACACGCACACGCACACACACACCAAACCACTTGAGCATTCGTCCGTCTTTGCTACTGCCACTAACGACGCTATTCTCAATCACTATTGGTCTTCTGTCGTATTTCTTATTTCTATTTGTATATCTTCCGTTTTTTTGTTTTTGTTTTTTTTTTTGTATTTTTGCGCGCGCGTATTTTTAGTCATGTAGAATGCTTTTGAGTTTTGATTTTTGGATTTCTGTGACTGCCAAATCTTCTGATATTATTACCGCAAAAGCATTGACGCTTTGCTCTTTCTAGCTCTCCTACTCTCCTACAGTGGCGTGTTTGGCAATTGAATGCTAAGCGAAGGCGCAAGTAAATATAGTTTTCTGAATTTATGGCACAACACTCGTGCTTGTTACCTACGCGTCAGCCACTGTTGATCTTCTGGCCTATGCCACCCGCCAAACACCAAGACCCCGCCATTGTCTTGACACTGCATTACGCGCTTATTTAATTTTATAAATTTTTTTCCAATTTTTTTTTTATCGTTCGTTTGTTGCATTTACATATGCAAGCGTATGCGCATGCTGGTGTGTGTGTGCGTGTGTGTGTATGTTTGGTTTGTCGAGTTTTTATTTTATACTTCATTTGGATTTTACGCCCACTTCGCCGACGTGGATTTCCCGTGATTTTCAAAGCCAACCGGAAGCATAACGTCGAGGAATGCCTTACGACAGCAAAGTTTTTGACATTTTCTGTTGCCGCCGTTGTTGCTCCCGCCATTCACGTTCATGTTGTTTTACTTCTTGCTCTGGCTGGCGCGCCAATGGTGATTATGTGTCGAGAAATATAATAATATTTTCATGTTTAACTTTTCACTGCTTACTCCAGGTTCAACTTTACCTTCATGGTGTACTCATTACATGTTGTTGCTGGCTTATTTTTTTTTTTTTTTTTAATAGTTTTTTTATCACTTGCTGCTGTCGAGAATAGCCGAGGCAAGTTCTGGCAAACGCGAAAATTCGAAAAAATTTGAGAAACAATTTTGGCAAGCAAAAAGTGAAAGCAAAGAATAATAAACATTATTGTGTCATAATATTGCATATGCATATGTGTTGTGCAAACAAACTTATTTGCCTGTGTTGTAAATATGTGTACAAGTTCACATACACGTATGTATTTATGTATGTAAATAGTTGTTGGCTTTGAGAGTGCTTCTGCATTGGTGTTCGAGAATAATTTTTATTTTTCAATATTTTCGTCAGTTTTCTTCTTATCCACTCAATGTTATCATACGCCTTCGACTCACGGTGTGTGCTGATTTTGCTTTGCTTTCGTCTTTTTTTTTATTATTGCCCCCATTTAATTGCCTAGTTTGCAAAGAATGAAAGAAAAGAAAAAACTCAAAAAAATAAAAAATTGTCAAATGCTATTAAGTGCGAATTTCAAAGGTGTGACGCGATCACATTCTCTCATATCAGTAATGTCCGTCCGTTCCCGTTATTGATTGGCGATTGTAGCACCAGAAATATAAATAAAAGCTTACGGAGGTAGTATAATACAATAGAAGACCATACATTTAGTTAGAAGAGATTGAGTAATTTTCTTGCAAAAATAGTAAATAAAAAATGAGTGTTTTCCAAAAACAAAAAAAAAAGAACAAAAAAAGCCACAATATTTTTTATCAATATACATTTGTACATACTGTCACATTCTTACTCATAATTAATTCTTTTACCCACAACAGTTGAACGTTTACCGGCCAACGACACGCCTCAACAGTTGCCTCTCGTCCGTTCGACTTATCGCAACTGCACGTTATATCAGCAATATCCATTTGAAGAGTTACGTAGCGCCAAACGACATCATCACTTTCCCCAAACGCTGCAGCAACGTAAAAAGATGTCCAGCGAAGAGGACAAACCGCCAGCGCCGCCTGTGCGTTTGACAAGCAATCGTGGTGGAGATCGCGTTGGAGGCGGCGCACACAATACGGGGGTTGGTGTGGGCGGTGGTGGTGGTGGTGGAGATGGACCACCAGTTGATATGCGCCCACTGCCCAAAGGTAAGTGTGAATATTTTTTTTTTTAAATGGCAAATTAAATGTATTAAAATTTTTTCTACTCTCCCTCTGTATATAACATGCGTCTGCGCAGAGCCTGATGATCCTGATCGTAAGAAAAAGACATTGAAGAATAAAATAAAAGGCTCAAAACCCTCACATACAGACTCAAAACCGAATATTTCGTATCCTACGAATTTCGAGCATACGGTACATGTCGGTTTCGACGCGATCACTGGTGAATTTACGGTAAGTTGACGCGTTTATTTATTTAAATCTTTATTCATCTACTCTTATAGCGTTGGCAGTGGTCGTAGTACATATATACGTGTACATAAATATGTATATTTCTATTCGATCGCCTTTTACTATGCACCTTTTTGTAAAACTGCATAAACATACTCGTACATACATACTGCGCTTTTTTATATGCATAATTCATATTTGTCTCGTGAACGCCGCTATGCAGATATTTACATACAAATAAACAAACATAAGTACAATTCAATTTTTCCCACTATTATTATGGCTTTTCATTTTGCCTTCAAACAGTCTCAGCGGAAAGAAAAAAAGAGAAAATTCCATTTATTTCATTGGGAGCTTCCTAGAAACAGTTCGAATTTTACTCTCTTCGATTTCAACTAGCCCATTTGGTGGTGTTATTGAAATATATATATATATTTACAATTGGTTTCGCTCATTTCCAACATTTAGCAGCATATTTTCGTAATAAATGCAAAATGAAAAGTTTTCAGCATTCTTTCACTAAATGATTACGAATACATGGCACCCTAATGACTCACCTTAATTATGTATGATTCTCACACTTTGAAGTGCAGCAGAACAAACATTCTCTGCGATAAAGTTGATTGTTGAGAACAATACACGCAGATAACAGTGTTTAATCACATATCCAAACAGTGTCTTACCTAATTTGCACTAAAGCTTATATTTTAACTGTTCCAAGTGTAATTTTGCTTATGCGTGATTGCTGTTAATGTCATTTTTGCTAATATTATATAAAAAATCAAATTAACTACAAGTGCCGAAATAAAAAAAAAATAAAAATATTGCTAAATGAGAGCAACCGAGCGTACAACAGAAAATGACGATGTCGGCAAGGTGGAGTGAATTTCTCTGTAAAATTTTAATTTATGTACATATATATATATATATATAATTTATAATGAAAAAAAGTCACCAACATTTAGCAGTTTCCTAAGAAAATTGTGCCAAATAAAAATTCCTCTCGAGTTAGTAAACAGACGGGAAATGGCACGCTGCTGTATCTGATTTACGCTCAGCTTTTTATTTTATTTTTTAAAAGGCTCACATAGTCAGCTAACTGGTGTACATATTTGCCCTAAAAAGCAATTTAAAATGTTCAATGTAAATATTGCAAATATAAAAAAAAAAAATATTGTAGAAAAAACCGTGGAAATTAATTTAGCGGCTTTGGCAAAATCTATATTTAGTAAATATCCATAACCTACAGCGTTTGTTATTGTATTGTATTTACATTTCATAATGCACAAGGTTATCAATTTTGCGGTTTTTAAAATAAACGTAACTACATATATAAAATTAATTAAAGTTTTTTTTTTTGGAATTTTCTCTTTATTATTAATTTTGAACCTTGGCATTATACATATGTGTGCTTCTTCGCACGTCATTTAAATGACCGCCTCGCAAATTTTTCCAAACTCCATTCCGTTTGAGGTAATTTGCAAACACTATTTGCCCACCGATTTAAACAATGTTGGCGCTCTAGTGCTCAAAAGTTACAGATTTACATTCTTTTGCGTAGCTTCACAAAAAAGTTGAACGATCTCCGTAGCCAATTGGCATCGCCAAGACGAGAGATAACGCGGCGGGAAAACATCACTTGCCATAAGGCCATATCCGCTTGTGTGGCATGTTGTTGAAACCACATATTGTCCAAGTCGTGTACTTTAATTGGAGGCCCATTCGTTTATCATTCGACCATAATGCCACGTATTGACAGTGACAGCCTCGCCGTTATCGTTTTCAAAGAAGCAGAATATAGCCAAACCTCCGAACCAAAGAGCGATATTTGATGTTGAACGAACAAAGGGATCATACACAAGCCGTACAACATCTGTCTCTTCAAATTTCTTTAAATTTTACCAAATTTTGCTTGAGTAGTTGTACGATTATGTGCCCCATAATTAATATATGTATATAAAATGCTTTGTGCTGAATGATTGATCGATCGACCCACAGTCTAAACCATTGATCGTAGAAACCTGAAACTTTTAGTGAAGTGGCTTGGCTTTGCTTTACATGTTTAGCATAATATATAATAATTTCTGAGATATTATAAAGTTAATAATCAGAGGTGTTACAGAAACCGGCACAGAATTGCTTATTTATCGGAACTGCAAATTTGCGACTTGATTTTGCTTGTTTCGAAGATAAGCAAAACCGATATTCGAATCAATTCATTTTAATGTTTGTACTGGTTTTAATACATTTGTGATTGTTAACTAAAAAAAATGACTTCGGTAGTGATAGCATTTTTGATGATAGAAGGATTTGGAGAAACCATTCAGAAAATAATGCGAAAAACTGTAAGGGAAAAGACTAAACCGCTGGAGCTGCCAGAGCCGATGTAAATGTAATTTTCATTCTATATCTTTTACATTTGCTTATACAAAAAAAAATCAAATTTTATATGTAGATTCCTAGACCAATCTCGTATAGTGCTGGCTTTGATTGAAGTCAAGTTATATAGACTGTTCATCCCAGCTGTGCTCCAACTTGCAGCCACACTGCAGTTTTTTAGCAGAAGTCTTTTTTTAACGGTTTGTGGGACTCAAATAAATGCTTAGCGCGACCTACAGTATCGGTGGTTATAACAGAAATGCTAAAGGCTTTTGAACAATTCAATAGCGCACGCTGGTTAATTTTAGGTATGAACGATTCCGACAACAATCTGTTTCTGTAACACCCCTAAATATAAAAAAAAAAAACTAATAAATCTTATTAGAACCATCTTAAAATTACATGCGGACATATTCGCTGGCAAACTCAAGTCTCCTCTTGATGCCTTGTGCGGTTGTTTAGTGATCCATTTCATAATTGCCTGATTTTTAACAAAAACAAAAGATGTTTGGTTTGACAATTAAATTCAAGAGATATCAAATTACAGCGCTGTACTTCGGAAACCACAAAATGGATAACCCTATAATTTTAATTTTTAATCTGAAGCTAAATTTTTGTTTGAGTGCAGCACCGAGAAATACATTTCGATTATAATCGACTATTTTGTATGCAAATACATGATTGTGCTTTTAGAAATCTACAAATAATTTACCTTTATTTAGTTCCGTAACAACAACAGTGGGCAAAAGGCAAAGGCAGAACTGTTACAAACGTTTTTTTTTCTAATTTATAGCAACTTTCTAGTGCAGTCGTGATATTTTTAAAATCAAACGATAAATGGCTCAAAGCGCACAGAAGTGTGTAAAATAAAAAACAGTAAAAAACGAATAAAGCAAATAACAAAATATTTGGTACAGTAAAGTAGCTGGAAAGGTTGCAAACCGTAAATTCTAATTATCACGAGATCTCATTACATGCCTTATGCCCACTTTGTAATGTGCTATAATTCTTTGGGTGCAACCATCATTTTTTTTCTTTGGCAATAAATTTATAATTTTATTTACTGAACATATTTGCATGTAAAGTGCGCTTAATGCGAAACATACTATGTATGTATGTATACTATTTAATGATTTTGAAATCAATTACTAATTTATGGCGCTACTAACTTAAGCTTGCCATACAAAACGTTAGGCTTAAGTCAAAATTCTGCTCAATTAAAACTATTTTAGCTGGTATTCAAGTTCAAATTTGTTGCTTTTTTAATGTAAATTGAAATTGCTTGGAATTTAAACACATATTTTTTTAAGAAAAGCTATGAAATAAATCACCAGCATAAATGCGGCATAAGTGTTATGTATATTATTATTATTATTATTATTATTTTTAAAATTATTTGCATAGCTTTCTATAATTGCTCGCTTCGTCAATGCTTACTTTCAGTTGCATACAAAGTCATTGAGAAAAAAACAAATGCAAATACAAATAGCAGACAAACAATCTAAAAACTTATTGTACAAAGTGTCACTACAGCTAGCCAACTTACAGCCACTTACATACATAAATTATTGTGCACCGAAGCGAAAACACAACACAACAAATAATATAATATTTAATATTAAAAATGTCTTGTGGCAGCATACAGTTGTATTTTTATGCGAATACTTTATTTGTTCTTTCTTTTTCTCCTTTACTGCATATCTACTCCAATTTATTTATTTATTTTTGAATTGTTTGTTTTTTTTTTTGTACGTGCATATGACTTTTACATATGCCCCCATACAAGCTGCCAATAAAAGTAAGTACCGGTTATAGACTAGTTAGTACAAATGTTGGAACAATACCGTTAGTTTTGACAGTGTACAAAAAAAAAAAAAAATCGAAAAAATTTCAAACTCCAACGTAGTACATACTTTTTAAAAAAGCATATAGCAACTTGCGCCGAAATTCGTTTGCCGCATTACCATTAACCGCTGCACATCCCTAATGCGCGCGGCAAAATGCTAGTCATATTTTATCTGTATGTCTGTTTTCTTTTAGTTTAGTTGTTATTACTGAAAACATGCATATGTAATCACTCTTAAAAAAATCACATACATACATACATACATACATAAGTATATTCAACATAAACTACATTTGTACGCTTTGCTAAATTTTCAAAACGCTTTTTGCCTATTTTTATTCAATATAAATAATTTAATCATATAACATATAATATGTATGTGTGTTTTTATAAAACTATTATATGTATCTATAAAATTATTATTAATGCCATCTGCTATAAAATAAACTAGATCTCTCTACAATTTTTGACTGTTTGGTTTGGCTAACTTTCGTATGCATACCAGCTTATCCACCAGATCTCTCATTCATGATTTTCAGCAAATACATTCATTTTTTTAATTGATGTGTAATAAATGTTCTCTGACCACCATGCGCAAGGTCACGAGTTTCATTTCTGTCCAAACCTATATTTAAATTGTAGAAAATTATTTAAAAAAATATTTTTTTTCTAATTGCAGTTGGTCCTTTAGCATTCCCAACAAGGACCAACCGGATGCATTTCTGATGCTCGTACTGAAAATCCATTTACGCTTGGAATAAATTGTAATTGGAGGAGTAGGAATTACAGCTGCAGCGCTCCACTTGCATTTGTGTGTTGTGAAAATGCCTTCATTCTTGACACCGGTACCACTTGTTAGGCGTTTCATTCGTTTTCTCACACATCACAACTTACAAAACCATCTTGATGAAACCCATAACTATGTATGCACTGCTATGTAGGTCTATTTCTGGGGACTTTAGGACTTTAGTCCCCATTGTGACGTATCATATCTGCCGAGTTTTTCTTTGAGTTCTGCTTTTTAATACCTTAAATATTCGGTCTGGGATCAAGCGGAAGAGTGGAAAGTAAAAAGAACGTCATATGGCATAAATTAGTATTTGTTGTCTAATTGCGGTCATGGTCAATTCGTGTTGTGTTGTTGTAGCATATTTTGAGGAATGTTGCGACAGTGACAGTCCTTGGCTGGATAAACAGCTGATAAAAATCTGAGTCGTTCCGGTGTAAAGAGCCGACTGTCGCGGGAACTTTTTTCCCATTCAAGCAAATATGACCTTTATTGCAAATTTAGTTACTGTATTATCGTGATTTTCGTAATTTTTAAAATTACGTTATGTGGGTGGAAGGCCTCTGTACCAGATTCAGCATTGTTTTGTTTTTGTTATAGCGATTCGTTCTCCCCGCTTCGGAGCAGGCTAGATCAGTCTAAGTCATCGAGGTCATCTAACGCTAAGTCCAGGAAACGTGCTGTTTCGACGGTTTCGGACCAGAAAGAAAAGAGGGGGACTTAGATGAGTTGGTGTTAGGGCGCAAGCAAAGAAGTGGTTAGTGTCGCGTAGGCACTCATTGTATGCAGGACATACGTTGGGTATGTCGGGGTCAGGTCTGGATAGGCAGGAGTTTGGTCTTTTACGGGAGACTCTCGAGGCAGCTCGAGGTTTTCGTATGCATTTTAGAAACCCGTCCTGTTGTAGGCGGTGCTCAATGCAGTCCTTAAAGTCGAGTACTCCCTTTCTATAGTTATTGTTTTTGTGGTAGCGGTTCTTTGAGGATTCTGCTGCTGATCTGGAGTTTTATGGTAATTGCAGTCGTACGCGCAGCGAGGCGGTGCGAGCTGTCGAATGTGACTCCCAAAAACTTCGTGTTGTTTATAGTGGGTATTTTTACGCCATCGACTTTCACATCAAGTTCGACGTGGTACTCCTTCGTCAAGCTGGTGAAGAGGATGTGGATTTTGCAGATTGTAGTTGTAATTGCCTTGCAGTAAAGAAGTTTTGTCTTTCGAAAATAAGTTCGGAATTTATATTTGATATCAGTGAAAAAGGTACCGCTCGAAGTATGGGACTAAATTGGGTTTTCAAGTCACTTACCACAAAAAAACCCATATCGAATGCTTATCAATCAAAAAAAGAAAATACAATAATTGTTCCCATAATTAAATAAGACATGAGAAAATTTAGTCGCAAAAATTATAATAGCGTTTTCTCAGACTCAATTAAATTTTTTTCAAGTATCATCAATCGTCTCCTTGTAATCTATCATAAATCATTTGGTACTTTCCTCACTCGTGCCCGATCATCCAGGATTAGACTTGCCATGTCATGAACTGTGATTCGACTGAAATCGCTTAAGCGGCGCTTACGCCAATAAAGAAGAAGAGAAGTTCTAAAACAAGTGCAAAACCAATATATTAAACGAAGTAAAAAACGATATCCAAGTATTTGCTCAAAATGAGAATTTTTTATTGTTTTTAAGACAGTACTGTGTGCTTTGCGCATAGAGGGGAAATACCTTAAAACCTCAATTAAGCCTTTTTATTTATCTACATCCGCTTTTTAGTAAATTTTTTACTCAGCGCGTATATTAACAACTGCTCTTTGCTGCTTTGGTTGCGTATTAATAAATAATATTTAGTTCCTTTATATGCGAATCACGCAGTTATCACTATCCATTGCCAAAAAACGAAATTTCATAACATTTTGCAAGCCAAATTAATATGTCACCAGCTACCACCAGCATTGGTAGCGAAACCAAACTTTCAGCTTTTTAACAAAAAAATTTGCTTCAGAGCATAATAAGCGTATATTTTTTGTTTATATGTATATGTGTGTATACAATTTCCACACATGCATACCGTTTACATATATAGTATGTACTAAATTAATTAAGTCACTACCAACTTTTCCTACTCACCGCTTAATTTCACATACTTATATCGTAAATTAACCAGCAAAGTTTACGCACGAGCAAAATTTTTATTTAAAACACATTTACTTTGGACTATTTAGCATAGTAACGCACATCGCTATATTGTATATGTATGGAATTTATACGCTTTAAGCCGCATACAAATATTTATAACGCTTAAAATATTTTCAATTAATTTTCCTCTAATCTCGTTCAATTTTCTATGATTCCAGGGCATGCCGGAAGCGTGGGCGCGTCTGTTGATGAACTCGAACATCAGCAAGCAAGAGCAGAAAAACAATCCACAAGCGGTGCTGGATGTACTCAAGTGGTTTGACAATACAACAAAACAGCGGCCAAGTTCCAAGTATATGACTAATGCCATTACAACGCATTCAGGTAAATATCGCATTCATACACATACATACATGAATATATACAGATACGATATTTTTCCAACAGGCTCCTCACTAAGTCGTGTGAGCAGCAGCAGCCCCAGTAGTACACCAACAGACTCTGAACTGCACGCTTCAAATAGTGGTGGCAATTTGATTGGCGTTAATCTAAGCAATCTCAGTCTTGGCGGTCCGAATGCAAATTCGAATGCCAACACTGTTGGCTCGATTGGTCACCTGGGCGGTGGCAGTATTGGTGGTGGCGGTGTATCGGCCGCACATGGCAATCACCATCCGACGCATATTGGCGCTTTAAGTCAATCACATTCGTATAATTTTGGTGGCAACACCGCTTCCTCATCTTCACAACATTCGTCCGCCAATGAAGATGACATTTTGGGCGCTCCACAACCGGCGCCACCGCCAATTGCTTCGCGACCCGAACGCACGAAATCGATCTATACGCGCCCCATCGAGGGAGTGTCGATATCGGAGGGTATCGAACATTTGCGAGCGGTCACACCAACTACGCCGCTACATCAACACCAACACCAACAACAACATCAACAAATACAACAGCAACAACAACATCAGCACCAGAATAATGTGGCGCAACCGCAACAGCAACAATACCGCACTCCGAATAATGCAGTTGCGGTGACCACAGCCGCCAACGCTGGCCCAACAGCGACAACAACGTTGGATAAGAACAAAAATAACGAAAGTAATTACAGCATAACAATAAATATTTTGATTATCATTTGCATTTTTCTCATGTAAATAAATTATTTTAATAGTTAGTAGTGAAAATCACATTTTGCGAGTTACATGCGTTCCAACAAAGTGCTGTGTAGTATTTTTGTGTTAAAATTAATTGAAAATAACTGGTAGCAGAAAATGTGCTTATTTGAAATGAGTGTGTTGGTATTGTGCTAGCGTTGGTACGTGTGTAAACTGCATACTCATTCTCATTCCCATTCCCATTCTCATCTCTCCTTCTTTGGGTTTCTTAACACTGCTAATATAATTTTTATTCATATATGCATATGTAGGATTATAAATATATTTGTACATACATATGTATGTATATATAATAAAAATCACTATTGCCGGCGGAAATGTGCGTAAGTGTGTTGTAGACAACGCATATATAGTTTTTAAATGTCTGCAAACGCATTTCACATTTTCCTGACCATTGTAGTATACACACACACACAAGCTTTTAACACTAATAATTTTCATGTAAATTTATTAAAATGAACATTTAACTGACTTGAATGTTGCATACCGTGTGCTTTTCGTTTCGTTCGTCGTTTCCTTTGTTTATGTTTTTTGTGGTATTTTTTTGTTTTTTTTTTTTTGTTCTTTTTTTTTTTGTTTTTATTTTCTGTTTTTTTTTTTTTAGAAAAAAGCATCGAATGTTTGTAGAAGTTTTTGGTGANTTTCTTTTTTTTTTTTTTGTTTTTTTTTTTTGTTTTTTTGTTTTTTTGTTTGTTTGTTTTTGCTTTCTGTGTTTCTGTTTCGTCTGCAGCAGCAGCAGCAAAGTCAGCAACAGCAACGTCAGAGTTCGTTGTGACTGCGCCGCCTCTGCCACAGCAAACTGTTGAGCCTGTCGCTACGCATGCCACGACATCCATTTGTAATATAACCACAACGTTGACTACGTCGACGACCGTTGCCAGTAATCTCAGTAGTAATACGAGTTTTATTGGTGTCATTGGTTCTTGTTCTACTTCTACCATTACTACTAACAATGCAACAATTGACACAACAACAGCTACTAACTCCACTGCTAGCACTCATTTGCAATTTATCGATTGTAATGCAACGACTACTAATCACGATTCTTCTGCTTCCTCCTTTTCATCGTTTCCATCGTTTAATGACGATGCGTCACTGCTGCCACCTATCTATTGTCCCTCGGTGTCTTCCTCCATCTGTGAATCGGTGGCTATGTCAACGCCTCCGCCACCCTTACCGACACCTACTACCGTTACAACAACAACAATAACACCGGCCACACCCATCTCCGGTGATATTGGCTCTGCCGCTGGGCATACCTTTGCCACTACGCATGTGGATGGCGCAACCACTGCAGATATCTATGCCAATGACCCAGCACATAAACGTCTGACCGGCTCACCAGCAGCAGTGGCGCAACAGCAGCAGCAGCAGCAGGGCACCACCACAGCTGCACAATTGGTGACACCACCACCAACGGTGGCACCGAGCACTGCGGCTACAGCCACACAGCCACGTTCTGGCACCGCTAAGAAAAAGAAAATGTCCGATGAGGAAATACTGGAGAAACTACGTACCATTGTGTCTGTGGGTGATCCGAATCGTAAGTACACGAAAATGGAAAAGATCGGGCAAGGCGCTTCGGGCACTGTTTACACGGCTATTGAATCCTCTACGGGCATGGAAGTGGCTATTAAGCAGATGAATTTATCACAGCAACCGAAGAAGGAATTAATCATCAACGAAATCTTGGTTATGCGAGAGAATAAACATCCGAATGTGGTGAATTACTTGGACAGTTATTTAGTATCGGAGGAGCTGTGGGTGGTGATGGAGTATCTGCCGGGCGGTTCACTAACCGATGTCGTCACTGAGACGTGTATGGATGAGGGTCAAATAGCGGCGGTGTGTCGTGAGGTGCTGCAGGCATTGGAGTTTTTGCACTCCAATCAGGTTATACATCGCGACATCAAAAGTGATAACATACTATTGGGCCTTGACGGTTCGGTGAAATTGACAGATTTCGGTTTCTGTGCGCAAATCTCGCCAGAACAGTCGAAACGCACAACCATGGTGGGTACACCATATTGGATGGCACCGGAAGTGGTAACGCGCAAACAATACGGCCCCAAGGTGAGTGAAGCCCCAAAGATTATCTCTTTGAAGATACGCATTTCGGCGCTATATAAAGTTAAAAATCAAATTACTCAATAAAACTAAAAAACTAATTTACCATTTTTTTCTACTAGGTCGACTTGTGGTCACTTGGTATTATGGCAATTGAAATGGTTGAAGGTGAGCCACCCTATTTGAATGAGAATCCTTTGAAAGCCCTGTACCTCATTGCCACAAATGGCAAGCCAGAAATTAAGGAGAAGGAGAAATTATCGACAGTATTTCAAGATTTTCTAGATCAGTGTTTGGAGGTCGATGTCGAGAGGCGTGCCAGTGCACACGATCTATTGAAGGTAATAGGGAAACAAAAATTGGCATTTTCATTTTGAATTTGAAATATATTTCCTATTCTTTTCCACAGCATCCTTTCCTGAAATTAGCACGTCCATTGGCTAGCCTAACGCCTCTAATAATGGCTGCCAAAGAAGCCGCTAAAGGAAACTGATTGAAGAAGAATTAATTTAATTAAAAGTGAAAGTGATGAAATTAAAACTTAAGCACTTAAACAACAAGCAAAACAAAATGTAAACAATAACGATAAAACTAGGAAACGAAATTTATGTAATACATAATACACAACTACATGGTGACACGAAACAGATGAAAACACGTACCGTTGCAGTTTATACACGCGTATTAAATTTATATATACACACATTTATATTGATTATATAATTACGTTATATTATATTAAGCGCAAAGTATGAGTGGAAGACAGTACTCATTTAATGATACTACATGCCTATATGCACATACATATATAAAATGCGCGAGGGGCTGATGAAGAAGATTTGTAGAGGAAAAGTCAATGCTAAAACTAGCAGACTGTATTCCAGTATGGGCAGAAAACAAAAAAAAACTGAAAGGGATAAATAATCATAAAAATATACGTACAAAATTGTAATTAACTTTTGTCAACTAAGTTCGCTTGAAGAAAAGTGAAATGAAAAAGTAAAATCGGAAATTTTGAAAGTGCTGCGAAAATTTTCATAAAATCGATTGTACGTTTCATTTTTTGAAATTCATAAATAATTTTGCACTAAGTGAGTTTTCTGATGATTTTTAAATTCATTGAAAGAACTTTAATTTTTCTAGGTTAGCGTCTTTTTTTATCGAAACTATTTCGAGTGGCATTGTAAATGCGGAATTAATTAAAACTTGCATATTTTTATTTTATTTGCTTTTTTTTATATTAATTATCATTGTTATTAGTATTTTAACGTGTGAACAAATACATACATACATCCATACAAACTTACATTTAACAGAGAAACAAACTGAGACAATTTTTTTTGTAAGACTATGTCATTCTTATTACATACAACTTAATTATAATTAGCCTTTTATACATACATACATAATTATAATCTAAACTAACGAGAGTTAAGTGGACAGAAACACCAGAAGTAACACCTTAAAACGCTCTACTAACTGATGACACCTTTATTTATATAAAATATATATTTGTAATAATATAAAACTTGAAGAAAAAAATGTTTTATTTCATTTTTTTTTTTTTTTTTTTTTTGGTTGGTGCTTAACTATGGACAGTTAACTTTTACTTTTTCCTAGAAAAACAAGTTTTGTAGTTGTATATTTGCAGAGGAAGAATATTACACAGGATTACGCTGTGCTCATAGCACTAAATAAATAGAACCAATTTTTTCGTTTAACATAATCATAAATTCACCGAGTTCTAAGGGATTGAGAGGAAGCTATTGGTATTGTAAGAAATTCAAATTTCAGCGAAATTTTCAACACCAGCGTTATCACAAGAGCCGCCGTGTAATTAATAGAGGAGAATGAAAATCTTAATGTGAAATAATTTAATTTCTTTTGATCTTTTTTGGTGCAGCCAAATCAACGCGAAGAAATTGGTAGTCTCAAGCCAAATATTTATACATATATAATATGAAATATTTTCTAATCCAGTCAAGGGGACGTAGAAATATATTTTATGCTGTAATTTTTATTATTTAACTTCGTCTATACTTTTTTATAGTTATTTTTAAAATTGCATTTTGTGCTTTTTTCGGTAGATTTTCGTTTGAAAACTATTTCTAGCTTTGCATACCGCACTTTTTGTCATAAAATCTGAGAATACAGAAACTCCTTAAATGCATACATACTTACTACATATATATACATATGCTAACCGCATTAAATACACGAAGAAACGAAGCTGAGATTAGTCGAAAAGTGTTCACAAACCACAAACAAGAGACAATGCAAATACAGCTCATATACATACATACATGCATACATTTGTATGCATAAGTGTGTACAATGTAATGAAAATGAAAAAAAAGCGCCATCAACACATGTATTAAAACACAATAATAAATGCAAACACAATAGCGTCTAGTAATCACAAAATAATAATTAATTTAGTAGAACGAAATACACAAGAATTTGACAACTTGAAGAAATTAATTTAAATAAATAGTACATAAAATACACTTAGAAAAACGTGCATACGTATGCATACATACATGACTAAAATATGAATCACATATGTATGTATCTATACATATACATATATGTTTGCATATTTGTAATAAAATAATAGTAGAGTAGATCCTTACGAAAATTAGGACTTGTATAAATAGTATTTTTCCAATTTGTATGTTTGGCCAGATGGCGAGACTCGAAGAAGAATGTTACAGTTGTGTGTGCATGCATCCAGAAAATTATAAAAACATATAAAGAAAAAACAACAAAAATACAAAATGACAAAGACAAATTCTGTAACAAACAAAATAAAGTTGGAACAAAGTTAAACAAAATCGAAGTAAATAATGCGGGGACAGAAGAAATATGAAAGTGTGGGTAATAAATAGAAATGGAAAACATACTTTGTGCCTAACTGTAAGATACTAAAGAAGATGATAATATGAAACTAGTTGATGCATGAGGTGCAAAAAAAAAAATTAAATTGTATTCGACGTAACTACAACAACAACAAACAATATGACAGACAAGAAACAGTTTCGTTTGTAGCGATTTTGTTTAAGTTTCATATTCTATGAGAATGTTCGGAAAGGCAAGTATTATTGAACCTTAAAAGATTTGTGAAAGATTTTGAGTTAAGTTCAGTTATTAATATTGCATAAAACCATACTACTGTCGGTCAATTGAAGATTAATAAGGTAGTAATTTTGTTTAGATGCTTGAAAGTACCATAATCGTCTGTGTGTGCGGCAACTTATACTGTTTAATATCGTTCGAATTGGTCAACATTTACGCATAATTCAAATGTATCAAAATCTTAATATTTCAATTCCTACTATGAGAAATAACTGTAGTGATCGTGAGTTATTTTGCCATTTTCTGACTGATTTTGTTTGCTGTTGTAAAATATATGTTATCTGAAAAAATTTCCTGTTTTGTTATGTTGTATCAATATTTAACGGTACTCTGCACACTTGATTTTCAAAAAGATTAGTTTCTAACCGATGAATACATTTTAAAAATTCTCTATTAACATATTTTTTTTTTTTAATATTTTTCTAAATTAAAGCAACTAATTAATATATTCGACGGTTTCGTTGCTGGTGTGGGATGAAGAGCCGTCTTGTTGAAGGTAAACGTTTTCCAAATCAATACAATTTAATAGCGCTATGCATTCATTTTCCAAAAAGTAAAATCCAATGACCCGGCCGGACCATGATCCGCACCAAACACATACATATTGAGTATTGAGAGGTTTTTCAACAATAAATCTTGCGTTTCTCGTGCTCCAGATACGACAGTTTTGCTTACTGAACTAGTCATCGAGGTGCCTCGAGACTCACCAGTCATGTTGAATTTTAATAATTTCCAAAGCTTTGTTGAAGCGAGTATCGTTCCATTTTCATTACTGGCGGAGTTTTTTTCTTTAAATTACAGCATCAAAAGCGGCATCTACCGGAATAGCAGGCTATTGAAAATAACACCTCTTATTGGAAAACCCTTTGCCTTTTTGTGAACCGAATTAAAACATGAAAGAAATAACATAAGAAATTGATAATTAAAAAACAAATTGAATCGAAATGCAAAGCCTGACATTGTTAATTTCTTTATCGCATTATCAATTTTCGAAACCGGCTTTCCGTTGCAGGATGAAAATTTGCAAATCACCAAGGCGCTACATATGCAAATTTAATACAAATACAAACCGTCAATAAGAAAATTTGGTTATTCTTAATTTTTGCCTTAAATTGAAAACTTAAAGATTATAAATTAAACCGTAACAAAGTCAATATTTCAAGCGCTTTGCTTTTAGCAAATTCATTTCTATAGCGCCAAGTTGCAGAGATGCCCAATTTTAGTTTATTTCATTACATTTTTTTATAAACAAAATATAATTTTTATATACATATGTATGTACATACAAATTAACAATTTGTTATTTCTTTTGAATTAGTTCTGCTTGTTAACCAAATTTAAGAAATGATAATAAAAATATATAATTATACATATGTACATACACATCTGTATGTATAAAAATCTGCGGGTTAAAATTGAATTTGTATTACACACTTTAAATTATTCGACGATGCTGTGACTGGACTCTATTTGAACCTTTATCTTTTATTTTTTTTTAGTAACAACTAATATTATTATAACTATTCAACTGTTTCTTTTTTACTCACACACTTGATACGTTATGTTTCGAAAGCACTAAAAATGAATAATGGTACTTACAAAAGGATCTGTAAAGGCAAAAACGAATGTATTTAACAATAACTTCTACTATTTACCATATTATTATATGATTATTACGATAATTATTATTATTATTATTATTAAAGAAAAAGTATATACATATATTATGAAGTAAAACATTATGAGTCATAAAAAAAAACAAATAAATATAATTTAAAATATAAAAATGTTTGTCCTTACAATAAAAGCGAAAAACCGCTTCGAGAGATTTGAAAAACAAAGAGACTATATGCTATGAACTTGCTGGTGTAGTTTTTCTTCTTGTTAATGAAGATCAAAATGCAAAAACTGCAGCTACCAATTTAATATTTCAAAGTGTTATACAATACATCAAATTGTAACATTTGTCCCTAAAATTTTAAATTAAATGTTTTAAAAATTTACGAAATCTAAGCCATCTCTGGAATACTGTTAAAGTGAAATATATTCCTGCTCTCGTTGCCGTTTTTACTCATATTCAATGTTATTCTCGTAGCAAGAAAAATTTGAGAAATAATTCTCGCTTTTGTCTGTCAGCAAGGAGTCTTCTAAGACTGTAGTGTCGATATTTTGAAACAAAGTATTTGAATTTTATAAAAGTAGATATGTCAGCCTCATTTTTTACCCGATTTTAAGGTTGTCAATAATTTAACAAAAATACTTTCCGTTTGTATTTAAGACTTGATTCAAGTATTTATTTAACAAAACTTTCCATTAAAGTTTATAATATTTAAATATTATATCTAACAGCACACGATTTCTCAAGCGTAAAAAAAACGATTGGTTTTACTGTTTCGAGAAGCTAGTCTTCGTTTTGCGGTTAAGGAATCGGTAAAGATAAAGTATGCGTTTTTGTAATTGCTTCCATTTCGTCGGTCTTGCAATGGGATATTTTGATTTAGCAAGCATTTTTCGTTTGCGTAGTAACACTTGATACTCATTGCCCGAAACACCACGCAGCCATGATGGTACGGAATACAATACACGAGTGGGATGCACACGGTCCGAGCCAAGTATGTCTATATAATCATTTTGACCGAAAAGTGCACGTTTCTCAGACCAAACATTTCTCGGTCGATAATCTGGCATTGGTAATTTTTGACCGTTATCGAAATGTGGAAGTAAACCTCGTTGATGTAGTCGGTCCTTATAACCGTAACGGCGTATAAGTGGTCCTTTTGCTCGCTTTTCCTCAAAAGACAGGTAGCGCAAGCCAACTGAAGAGGTTGGTATATTGATAGCCGCTGCTGTTGTACTCCATTTCTGCAGGAATTGTTGACTTATATTTGGACTGGTGAAAGCTTTGCGTACATTATTTGCGATCCAGGACATAGTTCCGATGTTTTAAATTGTGTTTTAGTTAGGTAATTGTGAAGCACTAGGGGCTAATAGGAAAGCAGCTGTTTTCTCAAAATGGGTGTATTCAGTGATACATTGAAAGCACAGAGAGACACATGTGCCTATTATATGTATATATTGATTTTGATATTTAGGGTTATGTTTTTAATTAATGCAAATCACACAATATTCGAATATTTTCTCCCCAATTTTTTCAAAATAAATGCGGAAGTTATTTAATGTTATATGCTCCAAATAATGAAACTATCTATATTGGTTTTTGTTAAGTTGTATATTATTTCACGATTTATTATTGAAACTACTTGGCTATACATAATTTTATATTATTACATGGTTTATTTTAGAAAATTCAAATTAAAAGGATTGTATTTGAGTCTAAAATAAGTGAAATGCTTCATAAATTATTTCGTAAAGGTGGCTATAACATTGCATAAAAATGCTATTTTCCCACCTACTTTTGGTTAAAAAAAAAAATAACTATATTCTACAAACTACTTATTGCGCCTAGTGGATTCGGAAGCTGTTGGCGGTGGTGGTGGTCCACGCTTATGCAACTCCTCCAAATAGTTTACGATAATGGTGATGCGTTCTTCTTCCATATGGTCCAAAATAAGATAGCTAAAATTTAAAAGGAATATCTTAAATAAATAATTTCATTAATAAAAACCAAAAGGCACTCACCGCTTGTCATTCTTTAGAATATCTTGTATATCTTTCAGATGATTGGGGTTTTCATTAACAATTTCACTACTCTTGTGAGTAATTAATTTACACTCCAGCAAAAGCTCGCGCAATGCAGTCTTCGCCGCAAGTGTTTTGTCTTTGATATAATCACGAAACTCACGTTCGCATTTATCAGAATTGTTATATTTAAGATAACGTGGATCATCTTTGATTAATTTCTTGATATCCTTCCATGAGCTGGTTAACTCAAGCGTAGACAACTCATCAAGCATTTCACGGAATTTTTCACGTTTACGCTTCATTAGCGTGTCGATGTGTTCGTTGAAAATCCTTGAATTAAAAATTTTTTAATTAGTTCATATTTTCAAAAAAAAAAAAAAAAAAAATATATATAATATATATATATATATATATATATATAAATTGTTCGACATAAATACTCTTGCGATTAACTTACTTTTCACGATCATCTCTATCCAGAGTTTCAATTAGTTCCCAACGGCTATCTTTACGCAGCTGCCGTTTTACTTCCTTCCACGTGAGATCTGGATTGCGCACCAAGTCCGTGAGCAGCGCATTGAAATGGCCAATCGCTTCATCTCGTTTATGATGCTCACGTTCCTTATCCCGATCGCGCAAATGTCCGGCCAACGTTCGTTGCACTTCCTTCTCACGCTCGCGTATGCTTTGCTCCGCACGCAATTGTTTTTCCCGTTCCTTTTGAAGACGTTCCGCTTCATCGTCCTCGCTATTAGTGGGTCCATCTTCGTCATCGTGATGCTCGCCTTCTTCATCCTAAATGCAGAACATTTCATTTATTTGTTTCTTAAAAATATTTTAATAAAATTTAGCTGCTTACCGATTCATCATGCTTTCTTTTAGAATCACCGTTCTTCTCCTTGTCTTTGTCCTTCTCTGCCTCTTCATCCTTTCTCTTGTCTTTATCTTTATCTTTCTCCCTCTCCTTATCTTTCTCGCGCTCCTTATCCTTTTCCTTCTCACGATCTTTACCTTTGTCCTTTTCGTTGCGTTCACGATCGCGATCACGACTACGACTGCGACTACGATCGCTGCGTCCACGCTTTCTGTCTGACTTACGATCACGATCACGATCCCTGTCCCTATCACGCTCGCGCTCCTTCTCACGCTCCTTTTCTCTCTCTCGATCCTTTTGTTCACGCTGTTTACGCTTCTCTTCCTTCATAATACGCATGTAGTCCTGAAAGTACTCCTCCCGATAGTTAGAGCTCTCCACAGCGCGATAACGTGGATCCGCATCGAATTTCTTCTTGATATCATGCCAACGAGTATGTCGATCCATATCTGAACGTTCGCGCAACATTTCAATGAAATCTTTGCGTATCTAAAATTTGTTAAAGGTTCGTTTCATGTATGTATGTTTTTTGTACGCATTCATTAGTGCATTTGGGTGTGAGTGACAAGTGCAGTCAAGGAAGATACAAAGAAAGAAAACGAAAAATTTATAATTAGACTTTTTCAAATACTGGCTCTGATTTTAACTTACAAAATACTGTACAATTATAACAGGGGCTTTGAGGAAATTCTTAAGAACTATGATAATTTTGTAAAACAATAACTTAAATATAAATTATACTCTGTTGCTCTGTTGTGCTGAAAGAGAACGTTTATTAGGAATGATTAATGTTTATTGCTGAAAAAGAAATAATATGATATGTCCAACAGTGCAAAGCTGAAATTTTAAAATTTATTTGAATTAGTGATTTTTTAGTAAACAGACGGACAGAAGGACAACATTGACATGTACATATATGTGACCTATAATATAAATACATATAAATAATGTATTGATTGAGTTTTTTACTTTATGAGCTTAAAGTAAAACTCTAGAGTAAAAAACAATACTTCACTTCTTTTTTTTTTGCATTTTTAAGTATTTAAAATTTTAAAGGTGTATTTTTAATGAGCCACACATTACTTTCGTAAGAAATTGAAGAGAAATTCCCTTCGAAATGTGAAATATTGTTCTTTTAATTGCTTATTGCTCTTTCGGCTGTAACAAAGAATTCTAAATGTATGATGTTTAGATTGAGTTTTTATTCATACTGTTTAGTCTCTTCTTCGCAAAATTTCCACTCCGCTCTAGTTCCTGCTCTGCTACACTCATAGACCAGAGACTGGAGACTCGAGCGCCAACATTACTCTAAACTGCCAGCTGTTGAGATATTGGCATGTCTTCTCATCTGCCTAATTGCCTTTAGTCCTCTTTGTAGTGTCCGCGAAATTCCAATCATCAAAATTCATCGTACCTCTGAGAGTATCCGATAAGCTTCAACACGTTCATAAGACGTTCCTGGCGGAAGGGTAAATCACCAAGATATATCTTTCATATAGGTATATATTGTGTTTGCTGATTGTTTAATGAAGTCAACGTTGATCTGATTTGTTTTTTGCATTTATTTACTTTTTTTATTGTATTAATGCTTTCATATTTGCATATAAATAACTCACCACGCTTCGAACTAGATAGGCAAATAATTTGGGAAAACGAGCCGAGCGGACGTACATACGCATCAAAGTCAAGGTAGATTAGCGAACAGGCAAATCACTGGGTATGTTGTGGACAGTAGGATGGATACGGATGTTTTGCGGTTCAATGCAATATGAAGTGCTCGTTGATTGCTCCCTGATCAAATATTCGCGTTTGAATATATCAATATGCTGCATTTTTCCTTGTGAATCATCTGAATCACATTTATTCTGTGCAACTGTGGATTGAACTCCTAAAATCTGTAATCTTCTTTTCTAAGATAACAAACTGTTATACGTTTAAGTTAATTATTAAAATTTTTGATATCACTTCATGCGGCTGACCTATTATTACACTCATGGAAGCGTTAAACTATTGGTTTTGTTGTTGTGTTGATAGTTTGTTGATCATTCATAGTTGAAGCCGATATTTATACAAGTTGTGGTCGAATTGGTAGATTTTTTGTTATCAAATTTAAAGATTAGAGTGAAGAAAATTTTTATAAAAAAATAAAAAGTATAAACTTTGCTGTGAAGCATTAACAATATAATAAGTGTATATACAAATAGAGACGTATGAAAATTTCAATTAATTATCAATAACATGAATTTCTAAATATTTAATAAGAAATACGTTTGCTGCAACCCAAAACCCAAATGATGTAAGCAATCAAACGTAAGCTTAACCCATATATATAAATATATATATATATATGTAACACCATATGCACATACCTGTTCCTTCTTTAGAATTTTCTCCTCTTTTTCGCGACGCCGCACATCTACAATATATTCGTTGAAGAGACTTTCGCGTTCGCGTACTTTTTCTATGGCCTTATATCGGTCATCTTTACCATAACGTTGACAAAAGTCGCTGAATGACGATCTAAATGGAAAAATAATTTCAAAATACTTAAATTCAAAACTAAGACAAACCCGCTGATATACTTACTTGCCATGGAGTTTAGCATCTTCCATGAGTTTTCGGAAATCTTCACGCTTTTGCCGCATTTTATTACGTTTCTCCTTGCGTTCCTCTTCAGCACGATCTTTAACATACTTTTCAAATACCTGTTTCCGTTCCTTCGAAGTTAGTAGCAAGTAACGGGGATCAAACACAATTTTATGTAACTCCTTTTCCCAAGTACTGAATGCAGATACCTACAAATATTTAAATATACATTAAAGAAATATTCAGTTAATATAACACGGACTCGCTTACATCTTTCTCACGCAACATTTCTTTGAACTGTTTGACACGCGTTTCCAATGGCACTACTGCGCGTTCCTTAGCGGCACGGACTTCCGCCTCCACAGCTGCCTCATTAGCATCAGCTTTTCGTGTTTGCTTTGCGCCTTTTATAAAAGGAAAGAAAACAGACCAATTGAAATCGTATATAAAAATTGTACAAAATAAAAACCGTTAACCACTCACTCAATCTAGACTTCTTTGTTGGCACTTCCTCCACACTCGATTCAGATTCCGTGCGAATTTTAATTACTTCATCATCATCTTGCTCTTCCTCTTCTTCTTCTTCAGCAACTTCAACCTCTTTCTTCTTTTCGATCTCCCCCTTTTCAACTTGTTTTTCAATAACGACATTTCCTGCTGCCTTTAATTGTTCGGGTGGATTATTGACGGCTTTATCGACATCAGCACGGTCTAATAAATCGTCGGGTCTTTCCCACACAGATGTGCGAGTTGAGGGATTGTAAAAGAATACTCGTGCATCTCCTGTCCAAACGACACACCATGGAGTGCCTGCAATGGGTGTGCTCGAAATTGGACGTGATTTGTCCACAGGTTTTGTCGTAGGTGTTGCCGCTTTCTTTTGTTCTTCCTCCTTTTTTCGTTTCTCCTCTGCGGCTTTCTTTGATTCTTTTTCAAGCGCAGCTGCTTGAGCAGCTTTGGTTTGCTCGAGTGGCTTAAGATTAGCGGTAGCTGCAGCTGCAGCAGCGGCGGCGGCTGCCGCAGCATTATAAGCCATCGCGGGATCATAACCACCAGCTGCGGGTGTCATATGCATGAGGGCAGGATTTGGCATCATATGTGGTGGCATGCCAGGTGCTACTTGTGGTGCGACTGATTGCTGTGGTGTTGTACCGGAATGCGCTGCCATACGTGCTGCTTCCATATCGCGTAGAGCTTGTGGTTTCTCCCAAACACTTTCGCCACGACCGGCATGGTAATAGTATGGACGACCGTCAGGAGCTCGGTGTTCGGACCACTCTGCCGCGCGTGCAATTACTGCAGGATCTATTACGCCCGGTTTAAGAATCAGATTTTTGGCTGGTTTATCTTGAGGCGGCTGTCCGTGTCCTGGATGCATGTGTTGATTCCATGGCATACCCCAAGGAGCAGGGCCACCAGGGAAACCACCATAGCCAGGTGGTGGCATTCCAAATGGAGATTGAGAGAAATTAGGAGGATGCATGCCAGGCGGAAAGAATGGCGGTGGCTGTTGATGTATTGCTGGTGGTGGTTGTTGCGTAATAGGTGGAGCACCGCTTGGTATTACATTCGGCGGTGGTTGTGTTAAAGTCTGTTGTGTGGGTGGTGGCTGAGACATCAAATTTGGTGGTGGATGCTGTGTAAGCAATTCTGGTGCTTTCATTGGCTGTGTTAGTGCCAAAGGCGGTAGATCTTTCTTCGCTTCTATGTTAGCATTCGGTGCATGCATAACGGGTTCCGGACCCTTACCACCTGCCTCTGTTGTCAAGTTATTTGTTTGTTGTGGTGGTTGCTGTTTTTTATTCATTTCTTCAATTTCTGCTTGGGTCATAACTTTAATATTTTGACCTTCAGGTTTATTCCACGTTGTTTCTCTTGTTAAAGCATGATAAAAATATGACTTGCCATCATCCGTTTTTGTCTCAACCCAAAGTTCTAAAGGTGATCCATTTGATGTATTTGGGGGAGCGTTTGAAGGTTGTGCCTGCCAATTTGGATCCATATTATTTGGTCCACGTCCACCGAAATTTCCACCTCCGCCCCGTGAACCGCCCCGACCAAACGGCATAATATGTATTCCACCACGTCCACCACGAAATGCTCCAGGTGGCGCGTTAAATGGTGACATGCTAAAAGGCTTAGCAACACCAACACCAGGCTGAGTTTGAGTCCTTGGGTTAGTGTAAATAAGAAAAGTCAGTTGTCGAGTGTTACCAAGGAAACGCTAATATCTTTTTTGTATAAACATATGTACATATGTAAATATAGATGTATAATAACGTCTACTTTTAATTTGTGCGCATATTAAAAAAATGTAAATAAATTTAAAAAAAAATGTTTTGAAACTTACCACTGTGTTTCCCCATCGCTTGTTTCAGTAATTGAGTTTTCAGCGTTACCATTAAGATTAGAGGTTACATTGTTTTCCTGAGAAGCCCCTGCTGCGCTACCATTAAACGGCCTTTCCTCATCTGCATTTACTGGACTTGTATTTTCGTTCACCGGCGATTTACTTTCTACTACGCTGTCAATTTCAGCTTCCATAGTAACAAATATTACTATTATCTGATGTTCTAAACTGAAAATTCGTCAAATATGTTTAACCAGACAATTAAAATTCACACACTTTTATCCAAGAAAAAATTAAAGATGAGAAAAAAGTATCGATAAACATCGATAGAATATGAATATTTAGCGTCAATGTTGTCAACACAATACCCCATGTTTACAAAAACAAAGTTGTATCGGCATGGAAACTTTCATTCGCCTTGGCACAAGAAATCTTAATACAGTGTACACAATGTTACAGAATTACGACAAAATCTCTCATGACTATGTGTTGTAGTGCTTCGAGCTTATATACAGAACTGAAAAACACTTTTCCTTGGAAACATTAAAATCAAATTGACTTAAATTATGTTTCTTTGAAATTCTTTAAAAATGTCAGATCAGATACATGACACCAAATACACATATATAATTTTCACTGCATGCTCAGCAGTTTTTAATTAAATAAGTAGGGATATAGGCATTGGGCAATCACAATTTTTCAACATTTCGCAACAATTTCTCTATAATCGTTTTTCAGATTACTAGCGTAATACTCGAATTATTTGAAAGTGCATGTTACAGAGCGCGAGTATGAAATGTTTTGAGTAAGATCACACTGTAAAAAAGCGAGCAGTGAGGTTTATAAGAGAGTCGCCACATTCAGCCATATACAAAATGAACTCGCTGGTGACAACATCAGTGTTAAGTGTTTTAATATTTATTGTTTAACATCTTTACAATTAAAGCTTTGTACAACAAATTTTGTGACGTTAATTTAACAACCATCATTATCGTGTAATCCGAAAATGTATTTGGAGTACCTAGCCAAGGGTAATTAATGTATTTCTAAGCAAAACAGAAGCAGGCTCTCTGCATATAAATGTTTATAAATTTTAAACTATAAGTTTGCGCGCGATAAAACTACGAATCCTAAGCATTTCATAAAATACCACAGGCTCCAAACCAAAGCCAACCCCGGACATTAAACTTGTTGCTATTATAAGCAGGGTACGGTGGCATAATTTTGATTGATTAATGAACTTTTTTGCCAAATTCCACATGGAATATACTTCAATAATTTATTAACTTCTACTATTAATATATTAATATATATTTTTCATTATTATAAATTGAATAAAATAAACATATGCCTAGTTAAAGCCTAGACGAATTTTTTTGATTTGATTTGTATAAAATTAAGTTTGAATGAAGTTAAGTTTACAATTACACTAGGAAAGTTATTGAACATACCTAGTACCTTCAGTTATCGATATGGCGACTATATCACTGACTTCTCTATGGGCTTCCCCAAGACTAGCTACGTTCATAACAATTAATATTGGCTTCAAGTACTACATTCTTTTTTCGTTGTGATATCTCTATAAAAATGGCTACAACAGGCACACATTATGTAAGTGAATATTTAATATTATATACAAATTACTCATCGCTCATATTCAATAGTTACATCCAATATCTTTGGAATGCAAGCTATTCCTACATACATTGGAGACGTATGGTAAGCAGTACAATCAAATTGATCCAACTCTTTGTGAGTTGCTGTACGATGTTTTGCTGGGCATACAGAATTTTTTAGACCGAAGTCCTGCGCTCATTACAACTACTGAAAAAACCAAGGTGCTGCAAATCAAAGATCTATCAACAATTGAGAGAATTTACCGTTGCACTTTTTGTAACATGAATGTGGCCAAATCCGCATATAAGACTGCTCTACATTTGGTAGACCGCCATCGGGTTATAAGTTTGCCACAGAAGGAGAAGAATCAAAAAACTCAAGCTGTACAAAAAAAATCGGACAATAAGGCGATCAAATTACCAAAAAGTATATTTATATTATCGCTTCGAATTCTATTTCGTTTATTATTATTTTGATATTCAGAGGCGAAGGCAATGGCAATGGCTGACATATCAAAGTTTTTCGCGGATCAGTTGCAAGTAGCTGAAAAAGTGAAACAAATACCGGAATATGAAGTTATAGAAAACGCACTTATGACGGCATTAACAAAAGCACTACCAGATAAGAAACCGAAACTATACAAATTTGGTTCAAGAATTACCGGCATAGGGACACGATATTCAGATTTAGATATATACGTTGACGTCGGTAAGGTGAAGCTCATAGGTATTATTTTTAAATTTTAAATATAATCGTATTAGGTGGACAATTTAATGTGTTCGAACAAAGTGCCTCAGCTGAAACGCTAAGTATCTTCGATCGTGTTCTTGAAGTCGTTAGAAAGAGTGCCATCGATTGGTGTCAGGTTCGTTCAATTCGTGGAGCAAAAGTACCTATAATACGGATGACAAATACAAAGACAAATATTCAATGCGATGTAGGGTTTTCCAACAGTCTCAGCTATTGTAATACACAATTTTTAGATTATATATACCAACAGCAGCCTTTAGGTAATTATACAAAATAAAGTTCTTTTTTGTTTTAATTCAAACATAAACATTAAAATTTCTCTTTTCTCCAGCACGTCGGCTGTGCATTTTTATGAAAAAATGGTTGGAGCGCACACGTTTGAATGAACGTATTACCACATATTGCTTGGCTTTGATGGTGATATACTATTTGCAGATAAAAAATTACTTGCCTTCTATTGAGACGCTACAGAAGAATATGCTGGCTAATGTTTTGGTTGGACGTAGGTTCATTCAAATATTAAACACATCGATTTTAATTTATCGATATGAACTTATATATGCATATAATAAGATAAATTTCTTTGAGTAGTTTTTAATTCTGATGTCAGGAAATTTTTAAACAATTTTTTAGTTTACTAAACTCGTATATTTTTGTTTTTACAGCATGGATTGGCAACTTTAGTAATACGCCCTTAAGCGATTTAAATATTGAACAGCTTAACGTCGAGTCACCATATTGCAAACAGCATATAAAAGAATTTTGCAAATTTTACTCAAATTTCAATTATGAATCATACGCTGTTTGCCCTTACCTCGGACGTGCGGATATAGAAATAGAAGGTTTTGAGAGTTTAATGCCACAACGGTAATTTGGAAAAAAAAAATATTTTTCACACAAATATCAATAAACGATGTATTTACAGCTACATAAATTTTGTTAAAAATGAGAATCCCGAAAGAGATTTTGGCTTACAACTTAATAGCCCAATGGTGGTACAGGATCCCTTTGAAATGAATCATAATGTGGCAAAGCGTGTTACAAATTCGGATCTTAAAGAATGGAAAGAATATTTGAAGCAGACTGTCGAGTTATTGTCCGATTCAAAATAAAACTCCATAATTTTAATTTAATTTTAATTTTTCATTTTTACTTGTATAAAATTATGAATACATTATTTTATGTTTTATTAGTCACTGCTGAATTGGTATTTACAAATGTATATATATATATGTTTTTATTTTAAACTAAAATTATAATTTTCATTAATAGTTTTTTTATATTCAATATTCTGTGAACATGCAAGATGGTACAAATAAAATGTGCTTAACTTATTTTGATGGTTTATAAACTTATTTACATCGGTGGGTCTAAAAGATAAGAAAAAATTATATGACAAAACGTCTTAGAGATTCGAGGACCGGTAGTCTCTTCATTAAGCTACAATAAGTGAAGCTCGAATTTCGAAGTTGTAGACAAAGTCTGAGCTGCTCTTGTAGAGGTTCTGAAGCTCTAGTGGTAATAAATACACAAATCTCTTACGTCTGTCGGTTCTACATGCCCGAGCTACCAAGTTCTAGCCGGCTTAGATCTTCAGACCCGAATGGTGAACTGCACTCGCCACATGGCGTCATATTACCAAAGCTCAACGGCGTCTAAAGACCCTGCGGAATTTACCTCGGCGACTTAGACTGAATAAACCTGTGCCTAAGCGGGGTTAGCGAACCGCTACAACAACAACAACACCCTGCGGAATTTCAAACATCCCATTCGTTCCATCGTATCGACAACTGTCACCAGCTGATCCTGCTTGATCTGCACACAATACCCGTTCATCAATCTCACCCCTCGCATTACGAAAATCCTAAGGTGTCGGACTCGACTGGTGACGAAGATCTAAAACGTTTGTTGTTGTTGTAACCGCAACAAAAAAAAATTTAAAAAAAATATAAAACGACATTAATTTTCGGTGACAGTCCTTGGCTGTATAAAAATACGGGTTGTTCCGGTATAAAGACCCGACTGTAACGGGAACTATTGGATTTTAGTCGCCTCTGAAACAATTTTCGGCCAACCGAGCTCCTCTTCAGTTTGTGGTGTGCTTCTTGATGACTTTCCAGCAACTGGGGGGATCTACAGTTTATACTAACCACCTCACTAACCTCAAACCCACTCATCTAACCTCCCTCTCCCTTTGGTCCAACCCCGTCGAAACAGCTCGTTTCCTGGACCTACCACTAGATGACCTCGGCGACTTAGGCTGAACAAACCTGTGCCTAAGCGGGGTTAGCGAACCGCTACAACAACAACAACAACAACAGTTTATACTATGATTTTTATGTGGAGATACAGAGGTCGCACTAGCCGAGTGTTAGCATTGTTTAAGCCATGCGGAGGTTCACAGGTTTGATTACTGACGGACCAAAATAAAACATTATAGAAAATTAATTTACCTAATTGGCGGGGACTGACAAGAAATAGTATAATCTGTAGGCCCCTCCATTTGTTGGAACACACCCACAAATTAAAGGGTGAGCTCGGCCTCAAAGAACTGCTACCGTTAAATATTCTTACAATCTGCCTCTTCGTGCAACATTTGAGCAATAATTCCTCCTACACTTCTCAGTGGAGCCGTACATGTTTGTGTAGACACACTCCACATACTCTACAAATAGCAATAATTGGATTAAGTGCAAAGTGTCCAATGTTTAATTAATTTCGTTTCAATTAACACGCGAAATTGCACACATGTGACCAAAACTGCCCATACGGCTTTTGAATACTCGTAAATGGCAACTAAAATAAATTGCATTCAGCAAACGCAGTACAACATTGCAATTGGCTTTTTATTACATACATACAAGTGCCACAATTAGCCCACTTGTGCATCTCTATATGTGCATATTTCCTTCGGGATTTCTATTGGGTGCTTACCTTGGCGTCTGCAAATCGAAATAGACCTTTACTGTCTATGGACCTAATAAAAGATTCTCCGCCCATTTAGAGCAGGGCTGTCGTAAAATAAATAGCAACACCACTGCTAGAACTCCTTTTGGAAAGAGATCCTTGTTTCGTGTTGTCCGCAGTTTCGTGTTGGCAGGTGAGATTGGGCGAATTCGTTTCGATAGCTAATTTTATTTAGTTTCGCTGCTGTTAGAGGCAGACTTCAGAGGAGGAACACAGATATATATATACAAACTTTCAGATAGTCTCCATCGGAATGAGCTTCAACACCGTTTGTTTGAACCCTACTTTGTATGTTCCAATTAGTTTTTTGTTGGGAGGACACTATGCTGAGAAGTTACTTTGTTGAAAAGTTTGGCAACTCGGATTACTTCTAGGCTGTCAGTCAATGTTTCATATAGGACCAATGGTGTAAGTAAGCTAACGCATGGATTATTTATAAAAAAAAAAATTTAATGTAGTCTTTATGACATCTGGCAGAAAGTTGTTAAAAGCTCTCTCTATGTGAGTGAAAGGAACAAGACAGAAGTCCTTGAGGGTAGATTGTGTAGTAAAACGCAAAACTTTTAAAAAATTATGGAAAGGGGGAAAATGTAGCGGCTGTCCGGGGAAAGATCACAGCTGAATTCGGTAGACGGATAGAGAAAGAGGGGGGTCTAGATCTTTAGAGTATATTCCCGTCTCCATTCCGAGGTCTATTTTGCCCCCTTCAGTATATATAGATTCAAATGATGTTATTCTCCCTCACTAGATCTCCTCTCCATTCACGTCTAAAGAGTTATCCCATCTGTCTCGGCGGATATAATCTGATTTATTTACAAATGTTGTGAGCTAATTAAGCATATCGCAGTGTTCATAACTTTTTTTGGTTACTTAAATCTGATAAAAATAACTTTCAGCAAGTTTTCAAATAAAGATGTCTATAGGCAGTTCATACAGGAGTATGTTAAGCGCATCAGTGATGACACGGCTAAATAACCCCTATAGTTAGTCACCAAGCTACTGCTCCATATGTAAGAACTAGTCCGTAGACCGTATACACAATGCAGGCTCCCGGTTCCAGGATTAACGTCTGTTCTGTTGTTTAAGAGATTTTCGTAGCCTACGCTATCTATCCTTGTCTTTATCACGAAATGGTATATTAACTGCCGTCTCAAGTATGTTCGAGCCAGAATAACAAGCTGAGTGATTTAGCCATCATTTTGTATGAAAACACGGGCCTCGGGTTATTGGTACATAGTTGTGTTATTACATTCGAAAGATCATTAGTCGGAACCGCCGGAAACGGATAGCTATAACATACTCGTATATACAACCGATTTGTTCAGATATCAGGTTTTAGGTCAAAAAATGCGTCTAAAAGGAATCTAAACCTTAGAGATTACAGATATAAAAGGTGTATTTTTTAGAAATATGACTCTCAAGAATAAATATAATATTATACATATAAATTAATGCTTTATTAGAACGATAGAGTCGCCTTAAAAGTTATTTCGATTCCAGCCAAGAGGCGCAATCTATGACCACTTTTTTATAGCAACTGGAACCATATGTCAGCAATAACCATATGTCAGCTCCGCGGTGTTAAATCGCATGCCATGTGCTCACGAGTCGAGATAATACGCTCACAAAAAGTTTCCTTCAGTACATTGATTGTTTTGTTGGCTGTACGACATGTAGCGTCGTCTTGTTGGTACCAAAGCTCGTCCATATCAACGTCCTCCAATTTATGCACGAAAAAATGATTAATCAGCGTTCCCCAATGACCGTAATATTATGATCAACTTCGTTTCTTCAAAGGAATATGAACCACTGACTCCCTCTGCCCACAGAGCACACCACACAATGCCTTTTTGAGGATTTAACGGCGTCTAAGCAATGGCTTGCTGATTATTATCACTCTAAATACGACAATTTTGTTTATTAACCTACCCATTGAGTGAGCTTCATCGATAAACAAAAATTTCATGTGGAAACCGGGATCGGTGGCCATTCACCGAACGTGCGACGTGCTTGATGGTCGTTTGGCTTTACTTCTTGCACGAAAAGGATTTTGTAAGAATCAAGACAAAGATCTTTCCGAAAATTGTGGGTGGCACAGTTGGCGGAAGGACTTTTTCGATACTCTGCTTCACAGCACCAATAGAGTCTACGGCGTTTCTGAAGATGCGCATTGTCCACTAGAGTTAACACGGTGTAAAAGCATGGCTGCTCGATTTACAAGCCCTGCTAAGCGATAATGTCCACCGAATATTGAAGGCAGCACGAACAACAACGTAATTTGGGCAAAAAAAATGTTTCACGACTTGCAAACGTTATTCCAGAGTATTGATTGTGAAATAGCAAATCATACTGAGTATAAATTAAGTAAAAGCTGCCAAAAAGACTAACTCAGAAAGAAGTATTGCCCCATTGAAAATCACAAAGCTACGTTGGCTAGGTCATACGGTGCGGTTGGATAAGAATACTCCAGCTTTGAAAGCTTTCTATGCAGCACATGTTGTTGGAAGCAGAGGAAGAGGAAGATCTCCAGTGCGTTCGAAAGACCAGTTGGAGAATGATCTGACTGCACTTGACGCTAAACAGTGAACAAAAGGGATGAATAATGGCGCTGTTGTTAACTCGGCGATGTCTAGGCCAGTAAAGAAGAAGAAATTTAGAATTTCTCCATAAACTTGATATATTTATGAAAGGTATAAAAATCTACGGCATGACCTATGAGAGCACTTATCATTTTTCCTGTTGCTTACTCCTTTGAAACTCTTGACTTTTCTCTCTCTCTCTTTAAACTCTATATACCAATATGTTGTTATATATGTATTTGTAGCCACAGCTAAGATGACATTGCGCGATATTGAACAGCAGCGGCTGCATGAGAAGTTGGCGTTTAAATAAAATATTTTTTATTTTATGTTTTGCATTGATTTATCATTAATTTATTTTATTCATTTAATAATTTGTAAATTAAGAATTAATAAATTTACAATAATTGCACGTATATAAGATTCATAATTAAGTATACACAATGTATGTGTGTGCGTTATTATAATAAATTGCAGGTATGTTTTGTATTATATTTACAAGGTATCTGTTTGTTTGTTTGTTTGTTTGTAAATATTAATTTAATTAATGAATTTCGACATTTCTTTCTTAACCTGAATTGACTATGAGACACTAAACCGAAATAAAGCATATTCATATGCTATTTTAAGCACATGAAATTACATACATACATATATATTCGGGTAGATTTTTAGTATTCTACCATAAATACAAATATATTTTTAATATTATATAAATTTTAAATATAATTTTAAATAGATATTTTTTTAGTTTACTTGCCAAGTACATACATATTTAAGTTAATCTTTTTTTCTTACATTTAAATAGCCATTGCCAGCGTTCATAATTACTAAATTCGGCTATAATATTGCTATATATGTATGCATGTATGTAATGACCACATTTTATTTCAATTTATTTTTATTTTACATCCAACTTTAATTTTTTATATAACTTTTTGCTTAAATTGCGTAGACTTATTAGGATTTAGCTATGTATATATGTATTTTAGGTTTTCTTAACTATTTTTATAACTTCTAGTCTTTTGTTAGATTATTTGAAAAATAAAAAAATAAAAGTTAAAAAATTAAAAATAATAATGATTGCCTGAGGTGAATGCGCTTGAATAATTCCAGCCCTTGATTATTCAAGGCATACACCTTTCTACTGACAAACAGTAATTGAAATACTTAAAAATTGCTTAGAAGAAATTAATTGTTTTTGTAATATTTTTATATATAATATTTATAAATTATTTACACACTAAAAAAAATAAACCACATTGAGTGCCAAGTGTCGTGATCTGTATGCAAGTTACTTGCAGCTGAATTGAGACTTATATGTGTATGTATACGTGTATGTATATGTGCGTGTAGTTGATTTGTTTTTATATGCACATGTATGTATATATTTATATATATATTTGAATGGTGGTGCTGAAAGGAACTCTTATTTCTTCTTTAAATTATGAATTTCATTATTTTTTAATTTTTTTTTTTCCAAAAATGAAAACTTAAATTAGTACAAATCGAAGCTACTCTGACAAGCAGCTGTGTGTTTTTTTAACTGCATTCAATCCAAACCCAGTAGAGCTTTAGTTGTTAAGCGCGTTGTTGATAGCTAAAATATTTGAAGCGAAAAAAAAAACAAATGTAAAATTTAGTTTCAATTTCATATTTAAAACGTAAAAATGTTTTCAAATATATTAAAATGTCATAGCGCCAAGTTGAAAGTGACAAAAGCAACAACAACAGCAACATTTAAAAAATGTAAGTCATCAACAACAATAGGCCGAGAGTGCGACACTCAAATGAATCCATGAAAAAGGTTAAGCGCCACTCAAACAACGACTGACTCGCTCCCTAGCACTCGAGTACCGACTCAAGTGGAGCGCTCTGTAGCTGCGCTGTCAAGTCACGTGAAATTCCCCTTTGCTTGCCAGCATTCATATGTACATACCTACATACCTATAAGTATTAACTAACCAACGTCTTTGCTTTTCTTCGCTAAACGCTGACTGAACTGACTGACTACACTTATCATTTGAAAAATTCGCAGCTGAATCCACAATTGCCACTGTGTGTGTGTGTGTGCGCTATTTTAAGCTGTATGACACTGCAATATTTGCTAGTCTTGTTGTTGTTTCCGTTATGTCCAAGTATTTGCTCATTATGTGCATAAAGCCGGAAGACATTTTTATTTTTTTTATTTATCTCTATGTTAAGTGTCCTTCAAAATGGCGTATTGCATATATATGTACATACATACATACATGACTACATTTTCTTTAAAAATCTACACACTCATACATATTTACATACACACATATGCATTTGAAAAGGATGTTTTTTTTTAGACAAATGGGTTCCAAGAATGTCGAAGAATTTAGCTTTATTATAAAGATAAGTTTTGGATATTATGTCCAGCCGAGTGGTATAGTTTTCGACCACTTTTAGAATATTCTCTTCCAAGCCACCAATCCTCTCAAGTTTATCTGCGCATACAAGCAAATACACATAACCTAACAAAAACTAGTTCAGTGCACGATTTTGGAGGGCCACGACGCGAGATCAGGCGCTCACTAAAAGTTTTCTTCAATAAATTGATTGTATCGTTGGCTGTATGGCTTGTAGCGCCATCTTGTTGGACGGTCGTCCACATAAACATACTGCATTTCAGTCACGAAAAACTCATTAATTATGACTCTATAGCCTTCCCCATTGACATTATAACATTGTATTTATTTTTGAGAGAAATATGGACCTGCGCCCATGGATCATAGCAAACAGTGACCTTTTGAGCATGTGACGGCGGCTAAACACTGGTTTGTTGATATTCATTAAACCAAATGCGACAATTGTGTTTAATATATGTACATATATATAGTTGGCGCTTTGTAACCTCAGAAGCGATTTCCGGCCGAGCTCCTCCTCTAATTTCTGGTTTTGCGTCGTGAAGTTTTTTTCAACAAAAGGAGGGACGTACAATTCATGCTAAGCCAGCTGCGAACGGCCGATAGTTTTTTATGAGGAGTTTTTGATTTTCATGTCAGAAATCCACTCGGAGAGGTTGACATTCACTGCCGAGGGGCTACCGCAATTATAAAATTTAGCTTAACTTTTTATTTAAATAAATTTTCTACAATTTTTGGGATGTTGGTACGACACATGATATGAACCCGGACCTTCCAAATGGCAGTACGAAATGCTAAACACATTTTTTGATTAATAATGTACCCATCGCTGAACAAAATTTTCTTGAGAAAATCGGAATGGGTGGTCACCCATCTCATTTTTAGCACATTCACCGAACGTGCGACGCGCTTGATGATCGCTCTTCTTCAATTCTTGAAATGACAAACCGAACTGAGTATAAACCAAGTAATAGTGGACAAAAAGAAACGCCAAAAAAATATTGCGTCATAATAAACCAAACATAAAAAAACACCCTTTACATAGGTACGTGTATGTAAGTATCGGTGGTCCATGTGGTATACGCACCTAAATCATACGTCGCTTGTTCCGTTTCCGTTGTTAGTGGCATCTTTACAGCTCGCTTACCGCGCATGCCATGCAGCGCCAATAGCGGCATATTATTCACGTAGTAGCCCCCCTGATGTGTTTCGGTGGCGAATGTGTTGCCGTCACTGTTGCCATCAGCCTTTTTGCCGCGCACTGCTACAAATTTATTGCTAAAATCGACAAAACGTTGAGACTTGCTACGCCGATTGCCAGGCTGAGTGAAGATAGTAAACATGTTGAAATAAGGAAACTAAAGTTATTCTATTAATTATATTTATATAGTTTATAAAAGAGAGTATAAACAAATTGTATGTATATATGGTGCTGCTTTAGAGAATCAAGAATGAAGCGATGCCTACGGTTAGGTTAGGTTAGGTGTGGTGACTATCGATCTCTCGTATCGGATTTATTTAGTAATGCCGCAAAAACTTGAACAGCCATTTTGATTATTTAAGGAACTTCATTAGATCCCTGAATTTGACGTCTTTGATATACCATCCAGCAATAGGTTCCCAAAAGTTGGAAAGCTAACCCTGCTCAAAGCAGGACAGTTCAAGCGAAGCAAAGGCTTGAAAAGTGCTATAAGAACTCATTATATTAGAGAAAATTACAAAACATTGTTATTGTTTGCTGTCTGATGCAGAACGTAGTGGATGTCTAAGCGAGTTTAAGCGAGGCGGTACCCGAAAAGTGATGCTACACGAATTAGGTAGCATACGCATTTGACAAAGAGAAACCTCAAAAAGAAGGCCGATATTTCTGACTGTTGACCAAGACCCACAACTGGTGAATCTTGTCCAAAACGCTCGGAAGCAAAACAATCGGCTGGAAAGGTTAAGGTTTAGGGCCACGATATTTTAAAAAGGGAATTACCATCAACTGCAATGCGCAATTGGTGCACTTGAGAATCTTAATTTCGATTAGTAGTAACACGCGAGACACGAAAAATTTACGTTTTAAAAATGTTAAAAAATAAGAAATAATAATTTTCAGAGGCTTTGTGTTTATTGGTTGCCTACATATGGCTGCCTTCATATGGCTGGTCTTGTTATATCCCATTCTCTTATGTCTTTCTACCCAATTCCTCGACAAATTTTGGATTGTGTGGCCTTATATGCCTGCACGGGGATCTTCAATTTTGTGTTTCAAGTAATGAATCGTCTTTTATTGGTTGGCTTAGCTCTTATCATTAACAGTTCCCACATAACAGTTCAAAGGAGTCAAATCACAGCTGCAAGGCGACGACCGCTGTAGGCTTCCCAGGAAGAGCAACTTCAATTTGTGTTTAAAATTTAAAATACCAGTAAAATTTTCATCTTCTGCAAAGAAATTTTCAGCCCATTGAGCTAAATTATTGACAAGTCCTGAACTCCAGACTTCTTCCATATTCCCCGTTTTCGCCAGATTTGGCTCTCATTGACTACCACCTCAACTGTAAGAAATATTGCTCGGATGGAAAGAAAATTTCTGGCACTGCGGTTTATTTTGAGTAAAAGGTAAATTGTCCAACTAAAGCGATATTTATATATTAAATCGGCGCTGGAATGATTCTGGGCCTTTTAACAGACACGGCGTTTTCTTTTTATTAGGTCTAAGACCTTCTGGCACATACGAATGGGTAGGCATGCGTCTTTGAATGACTCGAACAGTTGCTGAATAACGAAAATTCATGAAAAATCTATTACATATATTTCATCGAAAAATTGATCTAAAAATCGCTTATTTTTGTAACAAAAATATACAATCGCCAAATATATCAGGCTTATTTAAAAAGTCCATCTAAAGGAATTGTCAAACTTCCTTGTTTGAGTGTGATCTGTCTATTATCCATCTTACTTTATAAGGAATATTAAGAAGTAGAGAGCAAAAACGGTGTGGGATATGCAAAATAGTCTACAAGCTTTGGAATGGTGTTGTCAAACGGTGCACGAAACGTAACCCCGTCAAAGACGGCCAATGCTGGATGTTTGCCTTTATTGTAGAAATTTGGTCGGATTTGTGGTATGTAATTATGGGTTTTACACCACGATAGCGCATCACCTAATAACTGCATTATTCTAAACGAATTTCTGGTCGAAAATTTAATAAATTTTGAAAGACCACCTTGTTTAACTGACTTGCCGAAACTCAAATCACCATTTCGAGGCACCTACTTTCGGTCGAATATATTTTCAGTTCAGTCCGAGGCAATGCGAGTATAAAGAAACAATGGCGTTAATGAATGCCTGCTCAGTTTTGCTCAGTTTCTCCGTAAATTTATCTTGGAGACATATCAAAATTAAAACGTTTCTTTTGAAACGAGTTGAGCATTGTATGGGTCTGATTATCTGAATCAGTTTTAATCTAATTCTATTATATAAAGTTAGGTTATTACAATCCGTAGGTCCGTAGGGTGAGTCAAAAGTCTACTTTTTTCTTTTTAATGACATCTGTCTGTGCTTTCAGGAATTAACTACGATATTTCCGAATAGGTGGGTCTCTGTTCCGGAGAGGGCTAGTTTTCCTTGCAATCTAATCAAAAAACCATCTAAGTACCGGATTAAGGGTAGATGGAACGATTTTTTCCAATAGGTCCCCTTTCGAGAGAAAATAATAATATTCCTGTTAATGTAAGGCAGCTATGTAACGGATTATAAGTACGAAAAAATATAAACTTTTCCAGGAAAGTCAATCCGAATGACTATTCAAGATAACCCGATCTTTGCAAACTTTCCTTTACGGGGTCTCAATAAAAAAAAAAAGAAAAGAAATAGAGTTATGTAACATTAACACTATCAATGAAAATAGGATTCACTGGGTGGCGATATATTAAAAAAATTCTATGTATGAAAGGTGACTACATTCTTATTGATATCTAAATATAGATCAAAAACTTTAGCAATCTTTAACTCACCTCTAGTGGAGATCGCTTGAATGCTTGATGATTGACATCCTTTTTACCGCGTAAGCCCACAAATCCATTTACAGGTCCTCGTTTATCATCCATCATCGGATATGCAAAGGGTCCATCCTCACCGTCATACAAGTAATCCATTACATCTGGAGCTGGTCGCTTGCCACGCATTCCCGTAAAACCCGTAGGCGCACGTTTCGTTACATCATTCGGTGCTTGGCGATTTATTAATTCTTTGAAAAAGTTTTGCAACAACGACTGACGTAAACGCTCCTCCTCTAAACGTTGCAGTAACGAATCCATGCGATTTAAATCCATATGACTATACTTTTTGCCCCGCACTCCATAAAATGTACTTGGCGCTTTTTTATAACGTGGCTCCAAAGCCAACAAGTTGTCATAGGCCTCATTCAATGCATTTTCGTACATCGCTTGTTGCAGAGGGTCAATGCTCCAATCGGCCGAATTATCGTCGTCCACTGGCGCATTGTTGGTCGGATTGCTGTAATCGATGAATTCATTTTCCTTTTTGCCACGCATGCCAATGAAGCCACTCGGTGTACGTTTGACAATGTTCAAGGCACGTAGTGGATTGCTGCAGGGGAAAGTGAGCGAAAGAATGAGGTAAGAATAAAATACAATAAATATTATAGTAGAATATAAATAAATTCTTTGTGGAGTTGAACAATCGCTGCGAGTCAAATTCATTCGTATTAAATGTACATAAAAATGAGTTTAACTCACATAAACTCTTCGGCTCGTGCAGGGCTAATTTTTTAGGCGAAGTATAATTGACAAGTCTAAGCTTGCGACCATGAGATAATGCATAATTGATTGGCTATCAGGCATCAAAGGCACCTGGCACACGTGTGAATAATTTTTCCATGTTGATGGCTGTAAGGCTTTCTGATGCTGCAGATGCGACCGCCAGCACCAAAAACAATGATGAAGACTTAACTCTTAAAGTGATCCGCGATTTCTTTCAACTGTATGTTGTAGAAGTGCAAACGTTGGCTACCGCAAATGAGTTTTCGGGAGAAAAATCGTATGAAATACTTATGATTCTCTACAGATGGGCCATGGCTAATACAACAGCCGACGGAACATTGAGCTGCATGAAATCGGATAGGCAGTTACAGTAGAAATTACCTAGGAAACGAAGTCGTGTGGTACTTAGGGCGGGGCAGTGGCGGAGCTAGTGCTTCACCGTCTTATCCTCGCCCATGTCTCAGCAGATGCGACATGTACTATCATGAGTCTCCATCAAACAGTGTCCGGTAATTAAGCCGGGTATTATGCTCCTGGAACTTTTGTTTGGAAGTAGTAGAGACTTAGTTCATGTTTTGTGTCGATCAATTGGCAGATTTGCTTGGTCAACTTACATTTGCTTTCACCCTGCTGCCTGCCATTGGCCTTGCTGGTGATGGTCGATCTTAGCAGGTATTTGACAGAGGAAAGCGGTGTAGCCGCATTGTGTGCAGAGCTCATCGTATTTAGGATTTCACCATTTCTTGCTAGCTCATCGGCCTCGCAATTTCCTGGGATATCATAATGTACGGGGGCCCAAACCACGGTCGTTTTGCATACAGCCGAGAGTTTGTGTGAGATATAAGGTGACATTTATTCGTTCAGTGGATTAAGAGATAGCAACTACGTCCACCACTAGACGTGAATCGGATGGATGAGAGTATTTTTAGCAGTAGCCGATAGTGAATGCAGCAATCTGTATAGATGGAACATAACGTGGCGTTACTTGGCGATCTACAGAAAGAAGAAATTACCGCTATTATTGATAGTCCCGTAGACGTGAGAAGGAGCATTGAGGTAAGTGCCGCTTACAGCATTCGGTTTCTTCTGTTTCCTTATAATGCTTCTATAAAACCGATATGGATTTATATTTATTTAGAATAAAGCTTTGGGTACAGCTTATGAAAAACTGCACTATCAGTCGAACCCTTTGGCTAACACTTTGGCTGCCGTAAGAAGTAAAACGTGTCGGAAGATGATGGATTTACCATGCTCGTAAAGATTAAGATACCAAATACGGCTGCTTTGTTCGCTTGTGCAATCTAACGAAGAGCAACTGAAGGACTGCGAATTGCGCATTTTTAAACCGACTTCTCTCTGGGCGTTGCTTAAACTTTAAAAGCCAATTACAATGCTTTTCAAAAGTATATACATACATATATAAATGTGTACCCAAGAATTCTTGCTCTATAAAAATGACAGCTTCCCTAAACTGCCTGTAAGTTTATAATAAGAAAAGTCGTAGATAACTTTGTCAGCCTGGAAATCCCGCGCAGAGTCACTTTTGCTAGCAATTGCTACTTTGTACTGGCTATAGGCAATTGGAAAGTAAAGTCCTCCCTCAACGAATAAAAACCAAACTCAGCAAGACGTTCATCGTTCCGGTACTGCTATACGGTGCAGGGGCATGGACAATGACAACACATGATGAGTCGACGCTAGGAGTTTTCGAGAGAAAGGTTTATGATCCTCTGCGTGTTGGCAAGGGCGAACACCGAAGAGGATGGAACTATGAACAGTACGAGATATACGGCGATATTGACATAGTTCTGTAGTTCAGCGGCTGCGCTGACTAGGTCACGTGCTCCGGATGGATAAGAATGCTCCAGCCTTGAAAGTTTTCGGTGCAATACTCGCCAGTGGAAACGGAGGAAGAAAAAGACCGCCGCTCCGTTGGAGAATAGAGAAGGATGCGTCTGGACTTGATATTTCCACTGGCACAAAACTTTTTGTAAAAAGTAAAAAAATCAATGACGCAACGCTGTTGACTCGGCTATAATCCCATAAGCGACAGTAGAGAAGAAGATGTACAGAATACTACCAAGAAAAGTTTAAGGGATGGTTGAAAATTCCAGAGTATGGATGATTTTCGGTCAATTACAATCTGCTCTAGGTCGATTCGGACTTATGTGGCTTAAGATCATACGATCTCTTTCATTTATCTCCAAAATAATTTTTGTTTTTCCAATTCATATTCATATTTAACTCTATTCACTCAGATTTAACCATAGTTTTTGGTATAAAATCGACTTAATGAATAACTGTACCGCCTCACAACAGTCGGCTGGGAATGAAGAAATCTTGCCGTATTGACACATTACTGCAAATAAACCACTCCACTGGCGTGCGAAAAATAACCGATATGACTGAAAGCCATTCCAGTTTATTTACACTGTCGTCAAGCCTAATTACTGATAATTTATTTATTTTCAACGCATATCACTCGCTCACTTCGGGGGGTTTCCAAACAGTTCCTACTCAATTAAGTAAACAAATTTGCAATTCTATAAACTTTCAACACAAATATACATACATACATACATATATACAAATTCCCACGATTTTCATGCGACACTGAAGAGTTTTCTTTGTGTTTCTTACCCAACATTAAATAGCAAATTATGGTTGTCCTTATCATCAACAGCGGCATTGAGGTTATCATCATCGCGGTAGACGGGTTGGAGTGTTGTAGTAGTGCTGTCGGCTACCGTTAAAACATCACGTTTGTTCCTTTCGTTTATGACCTTTTAATGGTTGAGTGAATAAACAAGAAATATACATACAAAGTAAGGAAAGGGTTAGAAGTGATAGCAAAATTTTAGAAAATACTAATTTAGAATGAGTAATTTTCACTGCTATAATATCTAAAATAAGTATGTACATAGATATATACTACTTTGCTCACGTGCATTATTAGAGCTATGGAACTAGTGCTCTTAGGTGTGCATATGTATGTATATATACATAAATTAATGCCTTTATTTATACTATATTAAGAAAACTCTAAAGTCTCTAAAGAGGTTTGTATTGCATCATAGTGGCACAAAGGTGTTCTTCATTTCCAAGTTACACGTAAATTCTATTTTTGACAGTAATTTTGACTTTTTCCTGCTTATTTCCTTGTGTCAAGTCTAGTAGAAAGTAATCTATTATTTATTTAACATAGTTAGAACTTTCTGATTTATTTCAAATATTATATTGCTTGATATGTATTTATACATATACATATATATGTCTCTAAAAACCTTGCCCCTATTGGAAAAAAATGGAAAAATTGATTTTCTTTACCTTCTTCACCAGCCAAAAACATATGCGATAGACAAGAAAAAAGATTTTAATTACTTGGTACGAGTTCCGAACAATAAGATGGATGCATAAGAACCTCCCAACCCAGCTCCCAGAGTTTTTGACAAATTCCTACCAACGTGTGTGGTCTGGCTTTGTCCTGATGAAACTTTATCCACCTCTTGTTGACCAAAGCTGAACGCTTCTGGTTCAATTGCTGAAAGTAAAAGTCCAATCTAAGAGTTTCGTCGTAGGGGGCCCTCTCGCAGTGACCAATCTCTTGCTACCAAACACGTCAAACCTGTAGACTGGCTTAGATATTATTTGTGCCGACTCACTGCCCTTGGACCACGACTCTTTTCATTTAATGTTGCTGTAAGTGATGCAATATTCACCACTAGTCACCATCCGCATCAGAAACGGGCTGAATTTGTTACGATTCGCAGACAGAAATTCAGTCCATGAAGTTTTTTTTTATCTCTAACTCATGTGTCACCCATGCTTACTTCACTGGCGTAGACACCGCTTACGCGATTATAGCCATTCATTTTTTTTGCTGTTTGACGCCAATTGGAAATACCAAGTACAGCCAGGTCCTTTTCTAGCAGCTCTTTCCAACGGAGTTGAGGTCTTCCCCTTCCTCTGCTTCCACCGGCGGATACTGCATAAAAAACTTTCAAAGCCGCAGTATTCGGAACCGTCCGGACCACATGACTTAGCCAGCGTAGCCGCTGTTTCTTGATTCGCTGAACTATATCAATGTCGCCGTATAACTCGTACAGCTCATGGCCTGCGATATTCGGCGTTGCCAACGCGCAGAGGATCATAAATCTTACGTAAAACCTTTCTCTCGAAAACTCCCAACTCCGTCTCATCAGATGTTGTCATCGTCCATGCTTCTGCACCAGTGCCACCCATACATTGAGTGGTCTCAAACTGGTGCAATGTTTAGTTCCTGGGTACTCGATCCCCAGAATGGACGATTTTCATCGACATTATTTCGACCACTGGCCTTCCAAACCTTGGAGCGTGTTTTACATGAAAATTACCGTAAAAAAAATTGACAAAATCAAAATTGTAGATGATGGACTGTAACAGTCAAGTCCTGCTGAGTCTCCTATTATCTTTTTTAGTATAAAATATCTACACTATTCTAACCCCGCCTAACGAAATCCAATCGCATGTATAAACCTCAAGGTACAAATTACTGAAGCCCTCTCTATTGCAAAAATAATGGATTACCCTTTACCAGAACAATATTTTTACAAAATTTTTATATTATAATTAAACAACTTACTGTCGGGTAATTATGTTCCTCAGGCGCCGTGTCCTCAATTCCATTCCCATTCACCGCTATTACCGCATTCAAAAAGTAAAACAAAAGCAACAACTTCATAGAGCGCACCTTGCTGTATTTTGAAATTAACACAGCCATTGGATATGTTCTTGCAGCAGTGGAGTTATGAAAGCAGTTGTGATATTGGCGATAATGCTGTAAATGAGAAATAAATTAGCGTAAATAAAATATTTTGCTAAAGTAATTAAAATACAGTAGAACCTCGGTTATTCGATGTATCGTTCGGAGGTAGGGTTCGTTTAATTTATTAGATAACAGTGTCGACCCGTAGTGACGATAATGCATTATAAACCGACCGGAAACGATGATATTATACAAAATTAAATGTTAGTCGCATTGAAAAGGAAAAGAAAAGCTCTTTCTAAATTTGTCTGGATTTTATTCGAAAAAAATCGAAGGAATACTATAATAATTTACAGTTAATATTGTCAGCTTACACGTAAAAAGTTTTCCTAACGACGAAATACTGCTTTTATTTGTATGTATTTACCGGTATCTTTATGTTTTGATGATTAAGAAGCATGGATAATTTTATTGTTGTTGTATTACAATAATTTTTTTATACATATAATAAATTAATAATGCCTAAAATTTGTTCGGACTGTCATCTTTCCAACGATATATAATATGTATATATTTCTTTCACGAGCGCCACTCTCAAACGATTCGAACGGCATCCAGCGGAATCGGGCACGAACTTATGCACTCATCCAATACTATTCAAAGGAATTCATATATAATTGCCAAAATGAACAGCTGTTATCCACTTAGCGGTTTCGAAAACGTTTAAACGTAACTAAAATATATTTAAAATAATTATTTTTAATTATAAAGTTTGAACCTTGGCATTATATGGGGAACACTAAATCAATCAAATTTTCGCAAATTTCGATACGTTTGAGGTAATTTTCGACCATTTTTTAGTACATATCATAAAACCAATATAAAATTTCACTCAGTATAAAATTTAACAGAAAAAAATTTTATGACATTTTATCTTATAATAATTTTAACTTCATGTTATGGCCACTTTTTCATATAGTTTTTTTTTATGAAAAAATACTAAGTTTCCTGAAAATAGTTTAATTTCCATTAGATTTTCGAAAATACAATGCAAAGCCTTTTAGTTTTTTGTTTATATTGAAAGGTTTTGCATTTTTTGTATTATATATAATATAATGGGTGCGTAAATAAAAGAATTTTCGAATTTGGAGTGAAGACCTGCCAGAAGCTATTAAAGAGCTACCAAAGCATTCAGAAAAAGTCACAGTTTGGTGCGGTTAAGGGGCTGCTGGCATCATTGGACCGTACATTTTCAAAGATGATGCGAATCATAACGTAACTGTGAATTGTGAGCGCTACCTTGAGATGATATCAAACTTTTTTTTGCCTAGAATTTAAGAGCTTGACTTGCATGACATGCATGGTTTCAACAAGACGGTGCCACATGCCACACGGCACGCGTAACAATGGACTTATTGAGAGGCAAGTTCGGGTAACAATTTATTTTACGTTCGGGACCGGTCAATTGGCCGCCTAGATCGTGCGATTTAACGCCCTTAGACTATTTTTTGTGAGGCTCTGTTAACTCTAATGTCTATACAAGCAAGCCTGCTTCAGTTGCCGTATTGGAGGACAACATTAGAGCATTTATTCATGAGATGCCGGCCGAATTGTTGTAAAGAGTATGTCAAAAGTGGACTAAGCGGATTTCAGGCGCATTCACGTTCAACATTTGCATGAAATAATCCTCAAACATTGAATTATATGTACCGTACTATCGATTCAAATAAAGATTTTATGCGTTTCTCTGAATTTTATGTATTTTTTTTTATTTTTAAAAAATCACCCTTTACTTATAACACAAATTAGTATAGTATGGCCAGAAAAACAATTATGAAACATGTTTGATTTGACAGCTAAGCTTGGCAGCTGTCCAAATATAGCACTGTACTTTTGAAACCAGAAATGGGTAACCTCACACAACTTGCTGGTTAATTTTTAGTGTTTTCTGTGCGGTGAAAATTTAGTAAATTTCTGCATTTTCTCATTGGGAGAGTAGAATATATTGTTACTATCTCAATTTCTTTACTGGCTAATTTTTACTTCTGCTTTTCAATGAACAGAACTAATAACACTTGGCAGCCAACGTTCTTTGCCCTTTTCATTTCAATGCACAGACAAATGATATTCTTGTCGATTCATGCCTTAATGCTTTTAATTTTGAAATTTTGTAGGTTTTTTTAGGTGGTTATTAATACGATACATAAGTATTGCTATTGGGTTTTTTCAACAAACTATGTATGTAGCTAAAGAATTTTTAAAACGTCTGAATTAATAATGGAAAACCGCTACTCATTAATGCATTTTTGGCAAAAGTTTGGATGAAACGTTTTTTTTTGAAAAAGTAAAAAAACACGAATTTTAACCGCTGATATTCTTACACTTTGTATTTAAATACAAATACATATGTACATATGTATCTATATGTTCCTATGTAAACATCTCCATCTCCGTAACTAAAGTATGCGTTGAAGTCTAATAGAATATTTATGTTGTGCCTTGGGCCAATAATGTGTTAACATAAAAATATATTGACCTTTCGCACAAAAATTCAAATAAGAAAAATACAACGCACACATGTACATACACATGAGTGCATTAACAAGAAGAACCAAAAAATTGTCTGAAGTTGTAGGAAGTAAGAGTTTTTCTTTGCACTCAATATTAAGTAAACCGCATAAGGGTTTGGCTGCATACACAATGAAGTGTAACGATGGCAAGGCAGTTCAAAGGATCTCAGTTGTAAGTATGTACATACATATAAAAAAAAATTATTGAATCGATATCTTTGATGTACGCAAGTGAAGGCGTATTTCGCCAAACGCAGTTATTGCAACTTTTATTTTACAAGGAGCGTTTAAATAATTAGTTAAATTTTGAATCATCTTGGCGCCTAATACATTCAAATACTGATGATCTTTTCAAAAACGCTCTATATATTGTAGGATCTATACCTCGGTACATGGCAAGTGGCCTGAATCATAAGCCAGCATAAGCCGTAATGTTATTTCTAACAAGGAGATATAAAGCACTACTTTTTAAGGTAAAGGCATGGAAATCACCCTCCCTACCGAAGTCAAATATTAGCAGGAGCCATAATAAAACGCTTATAAAGCAGTTATTGGAAGGAGATGGTGTCTGGTGACTAGCACTCGAAAAACCACTTTCAGTTTGCTGCTGAAGTGGACAGAGTTCAGTGATCCGCAGCTCTCCTCGTTACGGAACATCTACCGTAGACTCCTTCAAAAGACTTGGAAACTCTGCTTAATGTCATTAACCTAGATCTGTACGGTAAACTGCAGTTGAACTGTAACACAATTAGACTGAATGCAACTCAGGCTTATAGGAATCCCACTAACTATTGACTTTTGCAAAACTTTCGGAGGGTACCGCCTTGAGTATTTACAATTTCTTACGGAAGGTTAAAAGCTCGATGTAAAAGCTGGCTGTGGAATAACTTCATGTTCACGTTCATGTTCTTAATTAACTTAAATGTGAGACTACCAGACCTCTGCAGCGTCTTCTAAGCAGAGGTTATAGCCGCTGATGCGATTTTCGGGCGATCTTCTTCTTCAATTTGTGGTATTCATCTCAACGTTTTCCCAACGAATGGTGGGACCCACAGTTTATTCTAAGCCGCCTTCGCATAGCCGATGGCGTTCTATGAGGAGCTTTGATTTTCATGTCAGAAAAACACTTGGTAATATGAAAAATTAATTTTGATTTTGGATGTTAGTAGAACCAGGACTCGCACACAGGCCTTCAGAATGGCACTACCCGCTCTTTCAATTATATTCAAATCTGTGGGACCCGCTGAGGTATGTAGATACATCAATAAGGCACCCGAAGGCGCCAAAAAATTCGCGCATTAGAGAAGGTAATGAAAACTTCACAGCGGCATCTCAATTGGCTTATAGACCTAAGTGTTGCGCTGGTCGCAATATCAGTAGACTCATCAACGCAGCTCTTAGCTCTATAATCACTCTATGTATGTATGTATGTATGTACATAGCATTTAATAGTTTGTTTGTGAGGGAAGTAAATGGATCAAAGATATTGAGTAACAAATAATTTTTGGAAAAATCGTTGAGCGACTAGCATTGGGTATTACCACACCTACTTCCAAAATAGTAAGCCTTCAATCGCTGCTGTAAGAAATTTATGCACAAGATTCAGGTGAAATAACTCTCCTTTCAATCAGTTTGTGGTTAGTTGGCTCCCATACTTGCTACGCATTTAAAGACAAGTTCCGGAAACTTTTATGACGATCATGCGCTTTTGCTCCGAGCGGTAGTTCCGAACGATTTTAAGACCAAAAATTCATTCAATACCTTCGATCAACCACTGTATTCACCGGATTTGGTCCCATGAGAATTTTTTGGTTTCCAAAAGTTACCACTCCGTAGAACCCGTTTCGACTCGATGAAGAAAATTCGCTGAGAGAGCTCCTGCCTACTGTTTTCTACAGCAGCTACAAGCAAACTGGTTTGACTGATCGCGCTCATTTTTGGCATAGTAATTAAGGACAGTGTTACCAACTTAACAGAAACAGTGCTGAAAAATATTCAGCGCGGGCAGTTTAAATGCGAACAGAAGCGAATAAAGTAGATCACGAATTGATACAGATCTCCATGTGGAGACTGCCGATAAACAGTAAAGTAAAAACTTTTCTCGAAGTGTAAATTACCAAAAGAATGAATGATAAAAGTTGCTAAAGATATATCTTGAAAAGTTCGAGCGAGCTTTCGAGAAGTATTTGTGACCTTATCGCTCGGATGGTATGAAATGTAAACAAAAATTTCAACTATTTGCGGCTCAAAGGATGCTAAAGGATTCATTCCAAAAACACAATTGTAAGCCATATGGATAACCGCGAGCGATTACAAAAACCATTCTAATTGTTAACCATTCTAATATGTTGGTAAATATATATGAACACCAAGCCTGAGGCTCCATGAATGCGTGATTATATACAAAAATTTGTGTCTACGCTTTTAGTAGTGTATATTAATATAACTAAAATATCATACAGCAAGCTTTACGGGGTCGCAGCAGTAGAGTCGTAGACAGTA